CTTCGCGCCCGAGAGTGTCTTCAAGCCTGATCTCACGCGTTCCCGATCTCTCACGCTTCCCAACTACTTACATCATGATGTGGTTGCCATGTCTCGCTACAGTCTCGTGCGCCTTTTGCCGGCCTCATCTTCCAAAAAGTGCTCCGGACCCGACAATTTTCTTAACGATTTTTATGTGAAATCGAGCTCTTGCTACAGTCCAGTCCTGCCCATTTTGTCGACCACTTTCTCCGATCGAGCCGCGAAACCGCGGAAACGGAGACCCTCCTTCTCGGCAACCACGGCCACCACTTTACCCGAAAAAATGCAGGGTTTCGCGCCCGAGAGTGTCTTCAAGCCTGATCTCACGCGTTCCCGATCTCTCACACTTCCAAATTACTTACATCATGATGCGGTTGCCATGATGATTGATGAAATCAAGCTCTCGCTACAGTCTCGTGCACCTTTTGTCGACCTCATCTTCCAAAAGCGCTCCGGACCCGACAGTTTTTTGATGTGTTTTGCGATTTTTATGTGAAATCGAGCTCTCGCTACAGTCCTGTGCACATTTGTCGACAATTTTCCGCGATCAAGCCGCGAAACCGCGGAAACGACCACGGCAGCCACTTTACCCGGAAAAAAAAAAAACCTGGGTTGCGCGCCCGAGAGTTTGTTCAAGCTTGAATTCACACATTCCCGATCTCTCACACTTCCCTTGCATGATGATGTGGCTGCCATGATGATTGAGGTGATGATGTGGTTACCATCATGGTGAGAAAGCTAGCCATGACAATCGTTCGTAACTTGGAAGTTTCCTAATTAAACTTCCGTTGATCATGCTGTACTCTTTATTTCGAACCATGCGAAGCCGAGGCACCGCAGAGGAACTTCCCAAAGTTCTGATGCATCTGCGTTTCGCCTCATCCGTTTCCACCATCGACCTAAGCCATTGAAGCCATGGCTGGGCCAAGGCACATCTGTCTGCCGAACAGCAAGCAGCTGAGGCGGCAGCAGCCGAGGTTTCAGCTGCGAAGGGGCCATGATTTGGAAGACGCTGTTGGCCCTTGGCCTGGCGGGAAAATGATGGGAGGACCCTAAGACCCCTAAATCACTCTGGGCTTGGGTTTTTGGGGGGAGCCTATTTCTGGGAACCCTAATAGGATATTGATGGATATTGTATGATATTGTAGGGTTTGGAGCTGGGCTTTCTCTTGTGGGCAAGTTTCCCAAACTAATAGAGTGGCTGCAAGTGGCGGCAAGTGGCTGTTTTTTTTTGGATTTCGCTTCCGGCCGCCTGCCCCCTCAATGAAAAATGACACCCAAAGGAGATTCAAAAGAATAAAGACCCCTACCTAGGTACATGACTGAGGGATGGTGACTAAGTTTCCAGCAGGGGGGACATTTCAACTACCTCACTATTAATTACCCCCTAGCAATTGGTTTTTAGGGGTAGGCCATATAGCCCCCCTACCCACCAATCAACATCCAACGTTAAATCTGCCGCCTGCTTATTGGAGAGGCATCCTCCTCGACATTCGCTAGGCTTGACTTGGCACTCCGTTCCAGTTGCTTCCACTTTTGCCGTGCCTTGCCCGAGGGACTCATCTGCACACCAAATCCGCTGAAAGCCATTAGACGAGACGAGGGGAACCAGCCTCATTGCCTCGCACAGCCGCCGCTATGGTCTTCCGCAAGAAGCTAGGGGTATCATCATCATCGACCTGGATTGCAGCGCAGCAACTTCAAGTGGTTCCCTGCCTAAGTCAACAATGGCTGGCCATATGCCCACAAATGGTGCCTTCCGGGAGGGTCTCCTCCCAGAGCTTTCTGCCATTAACTCCTGAACTGGATGAGCTTGAGGACACACATAAGTGACATGCAATCAATGATTATTGTATGTGTGTAATATCTGTGTGTGTGTTTGCGTGTGTGTCTGTGTGTGCACATGTGTGGGGGCACATAATTTAGGCATGCATATACATAGCCAAGCGAACACATGCAATATGATTTATGTAATACATACATAAACATACTGTAACACATGGGTGTATATAATATGCCTTTCACTAGTACATATCATGTTCCTGATCTCCAGTGGGACTGGTCAACCTGCCTTCTTTTCCACGGGAATGGTGGCCTCACCCCATGGCGAAGTCTAGCGTGGAGCTCAGTAAGTGGCATGGTCAATGGAGTCTTGGGCCAAAGGACCAAAGGATCCAAAGGGATATGACATGGAGAGTCATGAGAATCCAAAAGCCTGCAACAACAAGAGCAAAAACAACAATCAGTTGCGGTTGAAGCAACTGATTAACCCCCTTGAGTTTGGTGGCTGAGCAGGGGCAGCAGTGGCTATCCCTATCGTGCCACATTGCCACAAGATTTTCCTCCATGCAGCTGGGAAAAACGGTGCCCTCAGGTCGTGACGTTCCATTCCGCTCGGAAGTTCAGCCAACGCCCCACCAGGCACAAACCTGGCACAGCTGGCACTGGCACAGCTTGCAGGACAAGAGCTGGGCGGTGAGGGATTTGAGCGTTGGAAGGTCCAATGGTGAGGCCATGCTGAATGTCGCATATACATATATACAGTACATAATGTATATATGTGTGTGTGTGAATGTGTGTGTGTGTGTCATTTGCTTTGCTACAAACATTGGGAAGAAAAGGGTGCATATCATATCATGTCAAAATCATATCATGTCACATCATGACATTCATGTCACACAATTAATCAATTATCTCAACCAACTGTCTTGTCCTTCTATAACCAAGGCCCAAGCCCAGCAGTATAATTGACCGGGGCTACATCTCATTGCGCATAGACTCGGCAATTTCACATCGTTCGACGATGAGTCCGTGATGCGCACTTGCCTTTTTGCATTGGCCTTTCAATGCCCGCAGTGGCAGCTTGTGACGTGGCTGAAATGCCGTGTTAAAAGACTTGGCGCTTCTCCCCGAGCCGTCGTCAGCATAGCCATGAAATGATCCACTTCTGGGATACCTCACTGGCAGGATTTTTTTTCTGTCTCTGGTCTCTCTTTCTCCATCCGGCCAAGTCCAGATGAATCTTGTGATGTATATGAATTGTCGGAAAGTGCATGACTCATTGATTGTCTAAAATCGATACAGTCGATTTTGAAGACAACTTCCGGGGCAGTTCCAAGAGCCAAGCGTTCGATCAACATAGTCAAAGTGGTCTAGTCAAACATGATTTGATATTATTTCGTGTTGCTGTATGTTGCTGTACTCGCTGGGGCCAGCACCATTCTCTGCGGTGGACTGAGGAACGTCCAGCGGCCACAACAAACACAAGACGGTCGCTTTGGTGGCCTCAGTGTCATAAAACCCGTTGCCAGCAAACGGATCGACATGGATCAACTTTGCCATTGCAGACCAGCGACTGGGCATATTCCATCCCCTGACCGCCATGATGCAAGCAAGTGGAAGTGCCATTTGCAGGTAATTAACACCCAAACACTACAGTACTTCACTGCTTCATGAAAGGTACTCTAGATCACTCTTGATCATAGAAGAAACAGCACCACGTCTGTCATTTGCTCACGCGTGCAGCTTTCCAACCCCCAATGAAGCTCACAGTTGCAGTCTATCAACTTGAAATGTGGGAGAGATGGCCGAGTATCAGAAAGCACACTATCGCATCCATCGCATCTATCGCATCGAATCTATCGAATCTATGGAACTCTCTCTCCTGAACATCTTATCCTTTCACCCTGCACCCGCAGCCCGCCTATGCCGAGGAACACAGGGCCCTTCTCCGAGTTCACCAGCTGTGCCAGTTCTGCATTGAGCGCATTGAGATCGATGCCTAAGACTTACACGCCCTTTGGCATGACCTGCATACAGTATACAGTATACAGTATACATATGCACATAATTGATCATAATTGCGTGTATATATATATATACATATTTATAAATATATATATACACAAATTATATACATATTCAGATCTCAGACTGCGAAGTATATACAGGCCAAGCGTCGGTAGGGATGCAAGCTCAAATCGAGGTCGGCTGGCAAGCTGAAATGCTCACGGCCTGCATTTTGTGACTTGTGACTAGCGTGTTCCGTGGGTGGAAGTTCACCTGCGCAGACCGAAGAAGATCACTTGCACCGACCAAGTAAGGTTTTTAGCTAATCATCCACTATCTTTAGGGTTTGCCTTGGGGACATGGGGGCGGGGGACCGGGTGGGTTAACAGGACCTGGGTGCCAAGAATCCTATTGACTTGAGGACCTGGGGTGTGTCTATAAAGATACAACCTTTTAGAGCTTTTGGGACCTGGAGTGGGTTAGGACCTGGGGGCCAGCATCCTCTTCTGCCTCTGACAAAGCCACGGGGAATGCATAGCAATTATGCTACCCTGGTTTAACATCTCTGTGAAATGCATCACATGATGAATGCTAGTACATGACAAGTACGTAAGGATGCTGCATGCTAGCTGATGCTAGCTGCTTCTTGAGTTGCTAGTCCCCGGTGAGGGAAAAAACAAAGCAGGCACAAGCGATCTTGTTTCGCAGACATAAGCGAGGAGCCTCCTGTGTTCCGTGGGGACCTGCCCATTGCTTACCCTTCACACCTGCGTTTCAGTATATACACGTTTCATCGCATTTCTGTATGCTGGCAACCAACCTGTGAGGCGGAAGTGCAAGACGTTCCCAGCACCCTCAGGCGCTTCGAGTACTTCAAAGGCCGGCTTGCCATTTGAGAGTTCCCGGGCAAATGCCTTCGCCATGTGTCTGTGGTGGTTGCGTCGGCAAAAACACACCCACATGTCACTAACCCTGGCCAAAATGCACGATGAGAACTTGTTGTGCACAGACTGCACTGACTGCAACTTTCATGACGGTATTATCTTATGGACAAATTTTCACGGCTTCAATCCAGTCCTGCCGTCTCTTAGGAATTCGATCAGGAAGCTCTACCGAAGGCTCCCCAAGCGCTGACAGCACTGAAAGAATATTGGTAAACTCTGCGTCAGGCACACCTCAAACATGTTTTTTTGCCGGGGCAAACATGCTTCAAAGGTCAAAAAGAAAATGGGACTGCAAATTCAAGTCCAAAAAGGCTAGCCCCATATCAAGATATATCAAGATTAGTTAGGACTTCAAGCACTCTCAGTTGAAGTTGCACTGTGCTGGCCCCGGCTGTGTGCTTCTACGGCGGGATGGAACATTGGGCCGAGTTAGTGCTTGAGCACTTTTCCCGCATCTGGCTGGGTTTCTCTCTGAAAGTGATACTGCAACCAAAAGTTGAAGGACAAGGTATGTGCCGGGTTTACAAATCCAAATCCAAAAGCCCAAAAGCAGGCACAGACCCCAAGCAAGATGCCGGTGGAGAGTCCAAATCCAACAGACAGGAGCAGATAGAAACACCCCGAAGCAAAGCAGTGTGAAGGACAGCCAATGCCAAACCAGTTTGTCTGGGACCCCTGAATCACAAATCCCAAAACCTTAGGAATCCAGTCCAGTCTGCTTGAGCAGGAACGTCAGGAGCACATTCAGTCCTAGTGCATTCTGGCTACGCATCTTGCAAGAGAGGAAAGATACTTTTGGCAGCTGAGCGTCTTTCGGAGAAAATGAGCACCTTAGTTTTCAACAAAACACCCAGGCTAAAGCTCATAACCTGCCACCTGATACACAAAACATCACAAAAGAACTCTGACATGGTTGTCGGATGTTGTCGGGAAGTTGGGACCGTAGTCTTTTTGCAAGTCTATGACGTAAATTTCAGGGAATAATTGTAATTGTGACTGAATAATTGTGAATTTGGGGTGTGAGACTTCCCAGATCTACCAGCTTCAGGATGCAGGGCAACATAGGGCAACCCAAGAATCAACCAAGGTGCCAAGGTGCTCCATGGGACGCTGGTGCTGGGTGCTCGGCGCAAGTTGAAACGCATTTGACCGCTCAGCTCCCAGTCCCAACGAGATGTGGGATCCTCCTCAAAGTTTCAGTGCCAAGATTGCCAAGATGTCCAAGAGCAACGCATCGAAATCAAATGTATGAGAACACGAAGCCGGGAGTGCAACAGGAAGGGCTTAAATATTCACAGGAGCCGATTGCCCGCGGCATAGAAGATGTCATACTAGAAACATCTAGAAACTCAAAGGCATCTGGCAGATCAACTCATTCTGGCGAACTGTGTGTTTGTGATCGTTCTTTAATGTTTGGATCAAGTGTCTCCGATCCGAAGCACTCCCTTGCCACGCCGTAGCCAACGTCTCAAACGTGGCAAGGTATGGCAAAGCCTTGGAAAGGCACAGTAGAGCCGACAGAATTCGACAGCATGCAACCCAGAAAACATCAGAAAACTGCAAACGTCTTGGGCCAGTGGATTCCTTCAGGTTGCTCCAAGATTGCATCGGGATGTCCGGGAGTTGTCCGGGGATAACTGGAACGAGGTGCAAATGCTGAAGCCTGGCAAGCCTCACTGGCTCGGACCCAGAGTCGCGTGTTGACCATTCCTGAGATGCAATGGTAAGGGGAGAAGTTCAACAAATTTCAATCAGCCTGCAGTTGTTCGGACTAGTGAACCGCAAGGGCTGAAGGACACACAAAGCCATTTCCAACTAGCATCAACTAGCTGTGGTGTTTCCTCCTAACCGTCCTAACTGTCCTAACCATCACTGAGAGTCTGCAACACGGTGATGGATCTTCATGTCAGCTTTGATGAAGCCACCCTCATGGCTGGGCCGTGTGGCTTCCAAACTGTTGCTGGACACCTGGAATGAAAAGTTTGGGCAGAGCACGGGCACTATATTCACTATCACTTCAAATCTTCAAAGTCTGGATTTGGACATGGGATTTAAAAACTGGTGACGATGAAAGCAGGAAATGATGCTGGGCGAGGTTCTTTATGTTCTTTGCAAAGAGGCTCGCTGCTCCCATTCAGACTTTCAAAGCGGAACAACAACTATAGAAATGTTTCGCCTTTGCACACTTCCCAACAACCAAACCGCTGCCCCCAGTTCAGGCCTTCCAGCATGCTGGATTGTCCTGACAGCCATGGCATCGTCCATGCAGCATGCAACGATAGAAATTGCCACAGCTCCGCCTCATGGGAGACAGCGGCACTTGGGACCGCGGCTGCGGCTTCCACATCCAGCAGCTCGGGTACTGGAACATCACCATGGCTGCAAGCCACGACCTGTCAACCGGACTGTCAACCCAATTCCTTTCATACAAATGGTCAAACATGACAAGAGAAGGGTGCAAGTTCTGACCGGAACGGAAGAATTACATAAGTTATCTAAATTCAATCGTGTCAGTATGCGCCTTAAATAGTTTAAGTCTGCACTGTCTGCACATGTCTGCCGTAAAAATCGTTGAAGCACGACCAGGTGACCTGCCTTCGCATGAGGGCAAAGTCGCTGAAGCAACTGCTGCGCTGATGCTGAAGCCTCTGGACTGATCAAATCCACCTGGTCAGGTCTTGATGCTCAGCCAATGCTCAGCCAATGCTCAGCATCTGTAGTTTCATCATGCTCTGTGGGGTGCCCGCATTGCGTGTGACAATGTATTGGCTGATTTGCGTGCGCTTGTGATTGTGGCATACTTTGGCAGATCGAAACTGCATTCATTAATGGAAGCAAGACAAGAGTCAAGAGCCAACCTTTTTTCTGCTCACAGCAACGGCACGGGCTGTGTGTTCGCATCTGCACCTGATCTGGTCATCCTGAAGATGCTCTACCTTTGCTGTTCTGTCCATACCCGCTGTGTTGGTCAAAGAGCTTTGCATGCTCTGCACCAGCGGCTACAAGCGGAATGTGCGCAGCAAGACTGGTGTGAACTGCTGAAAATCATCATGATCCGTCATCATCTCTTTGATGCATGTAGGTGATCTTGTGAAGGCTTTCGAGCACAGGAACAGCACACATAGCTGGAAGACACAGCCGAAGATCGAAGTGTTTGACGTCGTCAATCCATTTCCAGCAGCTGCCCATTAAAAGGACGGTCGCCTGCTTCATGTTTTCCTCAATTCAAAAGACTGAGGGTGCCACTGGGACTTGCACCTGGAAAGAAAGCTTCAACAAACATAAAAATGCTCAGGGCCTCTTCTCCCCATCTTCGCACCCAAACTAAGGGGCACCTACAAAATTTCAAGTGCCCGATGCAAACGCAAACACCTCCAATCGCTAGCCGCTAACCCCTTTCTTTCTCCCCAAACCCCTCATTCTCGGGCTGGAACCTGTTATTGTTACGCAATTGAAACGAAACCATGAATGATCAAAACAGCCCACCCAGTGGCAGCGCACGGCTTTGAAATAGCGCATACCACGTCTCTCACACTTTTGGCAATGGTTATTACAGTAATGGTAATTTGTCCACTTGAAATTGTTCTCACATCTACGGACTATGATTGACCATGACCCATTTTTTTTGGCCAAGGAACTTGAAGGATAGCCAGCGTCAGCATTGATCTTTTGGCCCTGCTTGACGTGCAAAGCAGGCGTGGCATAAAGCCTGACAGCTCCACGGCGAATGCTGGCCTGCTCTGGCAGCCTGTCACATGGGGTTGGCTGTGGATTGATGGGATCCAGTACGATCCAGTGTAAATTCTTAAAGATATAGTACAGCTATGTACAGCTGTATCTAATTCTCTAATTGTATCTAATTGTATCTAATTGCCCAATTAAAAATCTTCATATAGCAGGTCCCGGTGCGATTCCAAACTTCCAAGCAAACCAGCACAGCCGAGATGCCATGCTGCAGAGTAATTATAGGTCAAAACACGCACCCCCTGACGAACCACTGTCTCAAGGCGAGTTCTGAGCTCGTCCAACACCTCATCGGTCGCAAAGAGGAACCTCAGCTCAAATGAATAAAGTAATTATGCAACATTCAGCAACAGCAGTGAGCCAATGAGATAAACACCTCTCATGTCTGCGATGTCTCAGCTCAATACAGTACGGTAGTTCCTGGTGGCAACCAATGGGCTGGACCATCTGGCTCTGGCTGATACAGAGCCGGACCTTTCAAGCAGTTCAGAAATGTGGGCGGATTTCTGACCTTTGGCAGTGGGACTCAGTACAAGAGGATGACAAGACTTGTTGCACCGCATCAGTTTCACAAAAGAATTCTTCTTACCCTGTCACTTTTTGTGGCCGCATCTCTTGGCTCCAACCCAGTTTTGCTTGACCACTTGTGATCGCGTGCGTCTGCTTTGCGGTGCATTGAGGTAGTTCTTGCTTCGGGTAGTTGCTTCAGGTAGCTAGAAGGCCAGACGGGAAATTTCTGGGGACTGATCCGAAGCCACACAGCCCAGCCTTTCCCGCTCTTGGAGGCAATGCCTATCGCATCGCGGTGCTCAAAGCTGCAAGTTGCATCCACCCCCTGTAGCTTCGCCTTCCGCCGGGATTCCTGCTGTGGATGCCAAAGGAGCTGAATCTCATCGACAAACACCAAAACATACTAAGGGGGAGCTGCTGAGCTGCTCTCTTCACATTTTGAACCATTCTGAGGTGGAATTCCACTGACCTTGCCGCACTGAGGCAGCTTGGATTGAATTGCATCAGCCCCAGGCCCCAGTCCTGCACCAAATGTTCATCCAAGTCCCAGCCAATGCTTCGGGCACCTCCTGAATCTATACGTCGATGCTGTGCTTATAGTTTGGTGTGGGAGCCGCAGTCGTGAGATCGTTTCATGGAAACCTGGTACATCTATAACGATCTATGCAGTCTATGTACTTCTATGATATTTCTATGATCATCTATGCATCCCTGCAAGCCAAGAGGCGCCGCGCAGCTGCTATGCAGACTTGTCCATCACCACACCCTGCATCCACCAACAAATCGCTGGGCCCAACTTCTGCAAGATCCAAGGCCTTCCATCTTGGGGCAAGGATCGACACTGAACGGATAACGGTCCCAACATGTCGCATCAGTCCCATCATATTGAAGCCAGCTGCTCCAATGTTGACACAGCTCTCACTATTCTCACTGATGAACCCTCACCTGCTCCACTGCCTGTGAGGCAGTCCTCACGAAAGGCCAAATGGGCCCAGCTGCTCGCTCCATGGCACATGGAAGCTACGCAGCATGGACTTCACCCGACCACGAATGCTGTGGGTGACCGGGTGGGCGAAACTAGTGACCAAGCACAAAAAAAATCGTGTCACAGCTGTGCGAGGCCTCACTGTGAAGTCTTAGATGCTCTTTCATTCTCTTGTCTCTTGTAAATTGCTCACGAATCAGACCCATGTGACATTTGTATGTATATATATCTATATTATATATGTGCGTGTGTGCGTCTATATATGTGTGTGTGTGTAAATCATAATTATAATATATATATATATATGTATGTATGTATATATATATGATTATATATGTGTGTGTGTGCGTGTGTGTAACGTATGTATGTCTCCGAGGTGAACTTGAAGGATCGACAATGGACACTTAGGGAACGTTGCCAAAACACATGCCTCAAGCATATCAGCGGAAGACATTGCAACGATTCGTATATTGTCCCCCCGAACTCAAGTACTTGCCTGGAAGCCCCTGCAATTCACGGCAGATGCAAAACGCGGTATGTGATTCGGAACCGCATCACTGATCCAACGCTCTTCGTCTCTGCCCTCTTCGCCAGCAACGGACCATGCCTTGTTCAGCAGCACCAGGTCTGCAACTGAGAGCTGTATAAGTTGAAGTTGATCTTCATGACTTGCTCCATCCTGCCCCGACATGAAAAGCTGTCCAGAAGACAGGCTGTAGGACTGTAGGACTATGGACTCCAGATGACTCCAATATGATTCCATATGACTCCATGGTCATCTCAAGTTACCTGAGATATCCTGAGATTAATAGAGTTGATTGAGTGGCGGGTGTCAAAGGCCGAAGCTCCTGTGCTTCTTCCCACTGGTGGCCTTCGGCAACAACTCGCTCAGCCTTAGCTGGACACACTGCATCAAACATCAAAGGATAGCAAAGGCCTTTGCCTGAAAAACCTCTGTGGGATCTGTAGGGGTTCAACAAGATTCAACTTAAGATCACACAAGAAAAAAACACCCCGGTGCCAAGTTATCCAAGTTGCATCGACAACCGTCACCACTCGATCAAGGCGAACCCGTGCCAAAGGTCCAAAGCGAACCTGCAGATGAAAAGTCTGCATCCGCTGGAGACAAACAAAATCTGCAGTGTCCAAGTTCCTGCAGTTGATCATCGATGATCATCGTTTATCCATGGTTACCCTCTGGTAATTTAACATAACTATTGAAAATCACCATTTATAGTGGATTTTCCCATTGAAAATGGTGATTTTCCATAGTTATGTTAAATTACCAGAGGGTAACCATTGCTATCCCAACCAGCATTGGACACATTGGACACATCTTGGCTCCTCCAAAGCTCCAACAATTTGCCGTGGATCTGCAGCTCCACTGGTTTCAAGGACCAGGTAGTCCAGCAGTCCGGTGTCTGCACCTTGAGTCAGCGCATTTCGGACAGCGGTGGACAATGCATCGTCAAAGCCAGGGCAGCAGACCTTGGCGGCTGAGAACCAATGGCGCAATCGTGGATTCCTGAGATATCCTGAGGTACATTTCAAGGGGAAGGTGACAAAAAAATACAAAAAGGATAAAGAATGAGTGGAGTCCCTGAATCCCACTGTGGCATTTATGCCTTTATAATTTATAATCTTTACATATCTTTATATCTTTATATATATATATATATAAATTGCTTTATATCTTTATATAATTTTATATATCTTTATCATCCAAACCAAACCTGCCTGTTGTGGTGGGACAGTGGGCAGTGCTGACAAGAAACACAGCCAGAGAGGGTGGCTACGTCACCATCACGGCAAGCCGCCATGGTTTGCTGAAAGAGGGATTCACCCTTGCCCAGGCCTCGTTGAACCTCGGCCATGGAAGCCAGAAAAGCTGCATCCACATTGATGGTAGCAGCGAGATCGTGGGCAACTGCAGCCACGCGGAGGTTGCCCCGTCGCTGCATTAGCCTGAGCAGAAGGCTTGTGACGCAGAAACGGAAGAGAAAACATCATCTCATGATATGTCCACGACAAACCGAGACCTAGCATGACCTAGCCGCCTGCTTCTGCACGCTTTGATTTCATTCTGCCAAGGATTGTAAACAAATAGAGGCCATGCGGCTTCTTGACCAGAGTGGTCTTCCCACTGCCAAGGAAGCCAGTGACAACAAGCACAGGCAAAGGAAGTGGCGCTGCAGGAGCAAAGATTTGGTTCCTTGAGCTGACGCACTGGTGACCGCTTACCATTTAAAACCATGCATCTGCAACCGTTCTGAGGAAAAAAACGGCTGTGATATGAAGTAAATTGAAGTAAATTGAAGTAAATTGAAGTAATATTCAACATTATTCAACCACTTTCTCCGGTGTTGCATCGGAGTCTCTGCTCTTGGAAGGCGCAGAAGTTGGCGTGAATCAAATCTCGAGCATCTGTCTGTTCTGTTTGCTCCGGGGTGTCCATGCCTTCCATGTAGAACTCCCTCAGGTTTGGCAAGGCAGTGCTAGTGACTGCTTGTGCAGCTGTGTCAGGGAGGATCTTCTGATATCATCCTAAGATGCTTGATTAGACTGGTGCGTGCCGGAAGATGGGTTAAGAATTGTTCAGAATGGTTTAGAACTGTTAAGCATGGAGAACGGGTACAACACCTTACAACTTAAAAGATTGCAACAAGCCTCACCATACTGCTGCGAGGAGCGGGACATCGGGCGTCCTGGCGGCCTTGGAATCCTCTGCATGATCCTGGAGCGAAACTGTCAATGCCACCGACTCGGCTTCTCTGTGAGGCTGGATGTAAAATGATCTATATAAGCGTCTGCCAGCCTTTGGGCTGTTGTCAGGCACCGCCACCACTGGCGCTTTGAAGAGCCATGGGCAACAAAAGGAAGCAGTCCATTCCAATCCGTAGCGGCCGTAGCGCTGACACTGTTGGCTCTGGAAGCCCTTTGGCATTGGCTTAGGCTGCCACGAACCTAGAGCGAGGCAAGCAGATCGTCCACTCATCCAAGTTGCTAAGAACATGTCTCGCCAAACGTCGCAAAAGACATGCTGAGAACTCAGAGAATGCACACTTAAATGCTGATTGTGATTTGTTATATTTGTTGTGCGTTCAACTGGCGCAATTCTTGCATTGGCCTGTCCGACACCATCAAAAGTTGCAAGCAGACTCAGGCGAGCGAAAACAGCTCGCCAAAAATTGAGGCTGCTTGAAAAACAAAACTGATCCGTACGGGAGATCGCCTCCTTCTTGCGAAATCGCAATGGGCAAAACATTGTAATGATGACTTTCGGGCTTGTCTGATCAAAGGGCGTGGACAACGGGACAACTCATCATTGAGAACATGAATGAGATTGGTCATGAGTCCCTGTCTGGTTGGGGTTTGTTTGGCTTTGGCGTTGGGCCGGTGACGCCTCCCTTCTTCGAAGAAATCAGGGCTCATGCTGTGATGAAGCCGCTGCATTCAATTACAGATCAATTAGCAAGCGCATGCCTGAGGCATCCTGAGGCCATGATGAACCACACTTTGGTTGTGCCAGGCCCCACACATGCGCAAGTCACCACAATTCGGTGACACCGTGAATTTCCTCACCATCTCGGTGAAACAATCGCATTTACTCAAGCAACGGTGGACTCGTCCCCTCTTCCAACTCTGTTCCTGGCAGAGCTCCAGGCTTTTGTATGCACACTGAATCAGCGTACAGCATATACCAGCATGATCCAGCATGATCCAGCATGATGCAGCATGATCCAGCATGAGCATGAATGGACGCTCGGTCAAGGGTGAACTTCACCATGTAAGCAACGGCCGCACCTCCCAAAGCTGTCATACCGTGGCCCTTCCGACATCGCCAAACTGCCATGCCGAAGGCAGCCGCCTGGGATCCAAGAAAGGAGCGGATCAGGCCAGCTTCACCAGGGCGACATCCAAACAGTCCCTCACCAAGCTAGTAGTATAACTAATGTAAAACTTCGATTTACTCAAGGTAAGGGGGGGCAAAAAAGCAAAAAATATCCCCTTCTAGATTCTAGATCCCCCAAATGGATAAAATAGATTCAAATAGTGGGTTTAACGGGTTAACATTGGAAAACTACCATTACAGTATCTCACCTTGAAGAAACCCAGGATGATATCGTATCTGGTATCAAGATTCCGCCAAACCACAAGGTTCTCCCATGTTAATCCAAAGGGCGACCAGCAATGCGATCATGGAGACAATTGGAAAAGGGGAGTTGGGCTGCGCTAGCCCCTTCAAGTCCTTCAGCAAATCTGCTTGGATGATGTCCTCAGCACGGTCCCCCTCATGCAACTTACATGCAAGCCTTTTCATAAACTTTCATATCATCTCATCATCATACATAACACTAAATTTCAACTGGGCAGCTGCTATATAGTCAGGCCCTGCAAGTTGGCAAGGCGAGTTTGCTGATGCATCTTCATACAAGGTATCAATGGTTGACAGTCTTCACGTTTGGCGGAAACTGACAGGCCCCAAGACGAAGCAAGCGCCTTGGAAAGGTGGAACAACCTTCTTGCTGTCAGCTACGAAGAATTCGCCAGATTCGGTCTGCCGGCAAATACATGAGCGGACCATGCACAAGGCATGAACACTTGCAAATCCAATGAACATCTATCAATCATGTTGTAAAAAATGTGTACCCTGGTCCGACGGAGCTCACCATGGGTACAACACCTAACTTGCCTTGCCACCAAAGCAAAAGATTATATGACTATATAATGACTAATTATATATTTCGCCAAAATGTGCGTGGAAATGTGTGACATATGCATGACCGTTCACCGCCTGGTTGGGCTCCAATCCATCATAAACCAGCCACCGAGGCACTGCCTGGGTGAGGCGTTCCAAATCGTTCCAAGCACTACCCAACAGTGATTACAGTGATAAGTTGTGCACAAGAATGGACATGTTGAACATGTTGAAATTCCGAACAGAAAACGCCTTCAGCCAAGACACAAGCTCATGCTTCCCACCCGCCGCAAGCCTCCTGACACGACATCACAAGAAGCATTTGTCGATCTTGCAATGAACAAAAAAGCGCGAAATGACCCGGGTTTCATTGGTCCAGGTTCATTTTGCTCATTTCCCCAACAGCCCCTTTCAGTGTCCATGCTCTACCGGTCTCCACTTACATCTCTGCGCAAGAAACCTGAAAATCATTGAAAATCAAACTAATCAAACCCAAGGTTTCGACAAATCTGCATCTTGCCTTCTCTTCAGCAGTTGTGCCCGCTGTCGCAGGTGCTGGGCAGGGCATCAAGCGGAGCCAATTCAACTTTCAGTACTTCTCATGCGTTCCATAGTTTCATGGCAAAACCACAAGTCACAAGACGTTTGGCAAGGAAAAGAGAGGATAGCGAAGGAAAGTCAAGAGAAGTACTCAGCAGATCAGGAGAGATTAGTGCGTTTAGAGTTTAGAGTTAAACTGCATTTGTATGATATGAAAGGATCATCAAAGACTATGATCATCATAGAGCAGCAAAAGTCATTGAAGTTCAGACCCACAATCGTCATCAATCGTTAAATTGCCCACACATGCAAACCAAGGCTAAATCCCAACAGGAAAGAAATGCCACGATTTTTTCCACTAGGCCTGGATGTAATCCGCCGTTTTCGTCCAAGCAATATTGAACACAAACCTCAAGCAGCGATCCAAAATATATCAAAATATTGGGTTTTTATGTCATTGCCACGATTGCCATGCAGCAGTGCAGCCTTCAGCCAAGCCGCTGAGCTGTAATCGGCCATGGAGGGTGAGAGTTCACCATCGTAGAAAACACAACCTCAGCAAAACAGGCGGCTATCCAAACACATCCAAACACCCGGTGGCCGGCTGTTGCCAAGCCACATGGCAACCGCCCTGTGGAAGGGATACGACATAGTAGCTCCTCGGCAAGCACTTGAGAAGCTTTTGGGCAGCTGGTCATGTCAAATCTGCTGTCTGCATGATTCGAATTCCACCAGACTTTGACAGTTTGCTTATTGCTCCAAGGCGGCCCCAGGCAATTCTGAGCTTGCACTGCTGGCCACCCTTCAAGGCAACGGAGCTTGAAACATCTTGAAGCGGCAATGTAAAGGAAACAGCCTAGGATTAGGCCTGTTTTCCACACCTTGCAGCTCCTCATGCCGCGCCTTCGTTTTCCACACCGCGTTGGTGCAGCAGTTCATTGCGCCGAGTCGAATAGACAACCCACCTGCAGGCATCATGCGAAGGAGAAGGGGACACCAAACCTTCCCAACCTCCAATCTCCCTCTGGATTTCCCTCACCCATCCGCACTTGGCCAAGAAGCATTTCTTTGTGGTCCAGAGTGGAGTTGTATACCATCCACTGGAAAACCTCACCAGGGTTCTGGGCAAGCAACCCTGCCAAGTATGAATACGCCATGGATTTAAAAAAGGAACAAGGCTGTTGCAAACAAAAACTGTTTCTCCAGGCCCAATTGCACCTGACGGTCTGGGAATGGCCGTGCCACAAAGCTCACGGCAGCACCACGTGCTTTTTCTTTGGCAAAATCACCGAGGTACCTTGCATCGGAGCTTTCCGCCGCACCAAAGGAAGAATCATGCGTGACTGCTCCTCTCAGTAAAACACCGCCACCATCACTTTCACGCATCTGCCGTGGTAAATTGAAGGTAAGCTAGGTTGCGTAACGCCAGGGCCATTCATCAGCAACTCATCCCACTCTGTCTGCCACAATTTCGCAGAGAGGGAGAGAGAGAAGGAAAAGCTTGCAGCAGCAGTTGACGGCAAGACTCGGTCATATCAATACATTCACAATTCTGCGTTTTACATCTTGTGGCAAGATATACAGTACAGTAGCAGCTTAGCACAGCCACAACGTTACATACCCGACAATGATACAGTGATACGGCCTGCTTCTTTGTGTCTGCCAAAGCATTGAAAACGTCGATTGCATCTGCATCCCTGGGTTGAATGTGCAATCAGAAAGACCCAACGACTACATAGACCATGTACTGTATAAAATGTAAGATTCAGAAGTTGATGGGAGGAGCACAAAGCTAGCAAATAAGTTCCTGCCATCTCTGGGCTCTATCTCAGTAGCTGGTGCAGGCCAGTGGCTTGACATCAAACCTACCAAATGTAATAGGAATCGCCTTGCACGTGCAGCAAAAAAAGTGACTGACTTTGGGCCAGTGCCAGCGGAAAAAAGCATCACCGCCAAAAAGTCTCAGGGGCTGCTCGAAGAATGTCTCTCTCTAGTGACTCTAGTGCAAACAAGCAGCATCTGGCCGCGGGGGTGAATCATCTTTATTGAGCTGAATGCCCTGCCCACATACGGACAGAATGGAGGAGGTCGTGTAAAGTTTGAATGACCAGTCACAAGCCCTGTGGAGAGACTACCTCTGTTGCCGAAGCAATGAATCATGAATGTTGTGAATCACCATGAATCACCCCTTCCAACCGGATTCCAACAAATGAAGCAGGTTATCCTGGTCATTCTCGAGCGAAGACTTTTATTTGGTACATGATGGTACTTGTCAAAAGGAGAGAAGATTAAAGAAGCCCCCACCAAAAATTGTTTACACCTTTGGATACATTTCGTAGCATCCAAAAAACATGCTTCTGGTGCTGACCTCTTTTTCCAACGCTGTCACACTGTCACCTTTTCGGATAGCATGTCAAGAATTCTGTCTCATTTTGGAAGTCCACCCTACATCTCTCTGCACCTAATGATGGATCATGAGCAAAACCTGCATACCGCTGAATACATCTGAATTTATCTGAATACTGTACTGTAATACATTGCAATAATTTGCAATACTACATCCAATTGTCCTATACATGTGCAGCCCTGGCCTCCCACGGCTCAATTCGTCCGTCATCATCACCTAGGTCCCGTGAATGACAGCTCTGCATCCCCAGCAACTGGCGTTCAAGGCTGTGCCGTGTGAAGCCGAGCCGAGCTACAAATGTAGTTGTTGGTGGTGATCTGAAGCTGAATCCCATCCGACTCCTTCGGCCAGTCTAGCCTTGGATCGATGATCAAAGAGATTGAAAATCCCAAGGGTCACAGAGACATCCGATTTCCAGATGTTCATTTGCCTTGCCCAAAGTTATCCCCAAACTGTCCGCTCTAATTGGCTTCTAATGCTTCTAGACATTCTGTTGTCATTCGAATGTCACAGCTGAGAGATGGTCCACAACATGCAAAAGGCTAAGGCGGCTAAGGCGGCTAAGGGTACTTGCCCATTTTCACACTGCACTGGGATTTTCAGGATGAGGATGGGTGAGGATGGGTGAGGTGGGTGAGGCTTGAGGAAGCACACCTGCAACTGCTCAAAAACATCATGCGTTCTTTGCTACCATGCGGCCGGCCGTTGGGCGGTGGCTTCTGGCGCCATTGGTTATTGAGAAACCTGGGCAGGTAGAAAGTGGATGGTTTGCTGTGGCGTCTCACCGTCAGGACTTCTCCACTCATTGCTCTTCCGACTGAGTGACTTTACAGCTGACTCAAGTGATCTCAGGTGTGCTTTCTCATTTGTTTTGACAATCATTTTGTTTCCCCTGACCTGTTTGACATCTATTCATTGGCTCAATCCAGGACGTCGAAGAGAATGAAGAGAGACGGTCACACGAAGTCACAAAGGATGTGTTCCTGTGAAGTCTGCCAGGAAACCAATCCTCAACTCGATGCTTTGCCTCGTGCAAGAGAACTTCTCTCATTGTCGGGATGCCCTCTGCCTCAGTCCCAAGGTCAAGCTTCCATGTTTCACGAGTATGGCCGCTGATCCAAAGATAATGGCTACAACGGTGCCAACTGGCATTCCTAGATATTCCTAGCATCAGGATGCATCAGGTAAAATCGTTGTTCCCAGTTTCTCCTACAGCCAGCTAGATTGCGGGCAGGATACAGCTACCAGCGTACCTGCAGCCACGCAGTTGCAATGAGGGATGCTAGAATCTCTAGTTGCGACAGGTGATTCCCCTGCGCACGCACACACTTTGAAAATGTGTCAGAACCCAAGTCTTTTCTTACTGGTTTTTGGGCCCCTGTGCCTGACAGCAACAGCGCTGCCTTTGATAGCAGTGCATGCCTTGGAGAGCGGCGACATGCCAGTAGAAGCATGCATGTCAATGTCAAACTGCGGTGAAGATAGGTACGTGACGGTACACGATGATGATAAAGCCTTAAAGCCCTCCAGACCTGATGGCCAAGGTGCATTGCTGAAAAATGAGCTCCGAAATGGCTCCCAGGCCACAGGGACGATTGCAAAGCTGAGCTAAAAACAGCTGCGTTTCAGTGCAACTCTGCGGCAGCCATTAAATGTGCAAAGAAATGCGAATGCTGCATCAAATCATACGTTGAAAAGCTGGAACGCATGCTCCGAGAAATTTGAGGCAAGCGACCTCTTCATGTCATGTCACGGCTTGCATTGCTGTCGCATCCGTGTCAAGTTAGTTTGCATCTTATCCGGTTACAATTTCTGGTCCAAAATCTGCCTTGCTCAAACATCCTCCCCAGATATCTCCAAAATTCTCCAAATCACATCCAAACGTGTTTGAGCTGATTCGGAAGGATGACTCAGCACTACCACCACGTGAACATGTAGAGAACCAGCGAAATGATCTAAATGATTGAACACGCTGTATCTGACAGGTTTGAGCCTAAACGCCTGAGAAGCAACGAGGAGTGGCCTCTGAGAAGCAGAAGTAGGGGAAGCTGCCGGAGCACCACTCTGGGTCTACAAAACTTGCCAGGGATGCTGTTGCCGAACCTACCAACGGTTCGATCGGCAAATGTAGTCGGCACCAAACGATGATGGATGATTCAATGATGATGGCAAAAGAAGGTACAAGACTGGTTTTGATTCGTTTTGACCTCTCGAGCACGCCCGGACTCAACTGCCTGCCTTCTGCGTCATGGGAGGGAAGGCATTGAAATCCACCCTGGATGCTCATTTAGGGGCAGGCATCTCAACCGTGGCAGTTCTGAAGGCTTCACACCACGAGCTCCGCACGATGGCTCAGGCAGCTTGCCCATGGCCCTATCCCGTTGCACTGCATCCTGCGAGCTGCACTACTGCTGGGGGAACACATGGTTGGGCGATGTTGGTCTCATTCGGGCTAGGGAACGGACCCAGTCTACGGGAGCTTCCTGTGGCATCAAAGGGCTAACCTGAAGCATAAAGCACCGAACTGGTGGCTTCAATATTCAGGTTCAGTCATCCTGTGGAAGTCGCAACACGCGGCAAAATGAGCAAAAACTCGGAACAACTTGCACACCGGGCAAATGTTTTTGCCATCAGATTCTATGCTGCTGGCCCTTAGGGAAAGCAGAGGGGTCTACCATGTAGCACGAAACGTGCCACCACATGCGAGGTGAATTCTGCTATCTACACAATCTACTCATCTGAGCCAACGCCACACCTGCTCGAGATCTTTGAGCAGAGCCTGGCCTAGCTGCTACCAGGGCTACTGAATGATCAGCGATCATCGATTCAGCTGCCAGCAAAGCAGTCACATTATCTTCCTGATCCAAAACTACCATCAAATGACCACAATCAATTTACATATGAAATGGCCAGACTTGCCAAGAACACGCAATATACAATTCCACAAACTTAGTGAACAAGTTTGCTAGATGAGCGGATGATGTGTATCAAGAGATATTTGGGATGGAAATGAGAAACATGGACCTGGACCAAGAATGTCTGGGAATTGTCGCCTCTGGCTCTGGCTTTGTCAGAGCAACTGGCGAATTGTATATTGAATTGAATGTTCATCCACAGAAGGAAAGTGTGTAAGTGCCGTACCATGCGGTACCGTAGCATCTTGAAGACAAACATTCACAAACATGTTTGCACCGATGGCCATTCACCAGCAGCTACCGTACATACAAAAGATTAAAAAAATGTGAAAAAATACATGTTCTGCGGATGTGGGATTAATAAGTCCGCATATGTCCGCATATTAGGCATCCTCACGAAATCTCACTCCGAGGGATCAGTCGCAGCATCATCATTTACGTGACTTTGCACCACCTAGGCTGGTCAAAGCATCCCAAATTGCGCGCGGGTCACAAGCAGGGTTCGTCTTTCTGTCCCCACCCGCGCCAACACAATGACCATGATATATTTATATTATGTTCCAAGGGAGTTCAGAAGTCAAACTTCCGACAACATGGACAGATGGAAAAGCAGAGATGAGAAGAGTCAGAGAAGAGCGGAGCAGAAGAGAGAAGATCAGAGAAGAGAAAGAGTCAGAAGAAAGAAGATGCAGGCGCGCGAAAAGGTAGAAAAGTCGCAAAACACTATGTTTTTCCAATGATTTGTGGCTCCGGAGGCTCGCTAAAGCAGCGGGCGCGGAGCCACATGGCCAGATAAGAGATGAAAAGTTGCACGCCGTTGTGGCGCGAAGCACATTCGGAAGTCAAATTTGGAAGTCGGAATGTCCAAAACACACCATTCTCGCACCACCTTTCGAAGTTCACAGGTCGAAAAAGCACACGCAGGTGTGGTGCGAAGCACATTTCGAAGTCAATAGTGTAAGTAAAAAAAGTGAGGGGTTCGGAGCACTTTTGGAAGTTGAGATGTTGAAAAAGTGCACGCCCTTGTGGCGCGAAGCACATTTCGATGTCAAAATGTACAAAACACCGCAGCCTCGGAACACTTTTGGAAGTTGAGATGTCAAAAAGATGCACGCCGTTCTAGCGCGAACCACATTTCCAAGTCAAAATGTAGAAAACACCCAGCCTCGGAGCACTTTTGGAAGTTCAGATGTTGAAAGCACACCGCTGCGACGCGAAGAGCATTTCCAAGTCAAGATGTTAAAAACACAACATGCCCGGACCACTTTTGAAAGTTCAGATGTGGTTTTGCCAGGCGCAAGGGATTCTGCACCTTGCCAAAAGTCAGCAAAACGCACGGGTTTTGTAGCAGTTTCAACTACAACCACTACACTACACTACATTCCGCTACAACTACGACTACAACTACAGCTACACCTACACCTACACCTACAACTACAACTACACTGCAGCACAGTACACTACACTACACTCCATTACACCACACTACACTCAATTACACTACACAAACTACAACTACAACTACACTACACTACGTTATTAAACTACACTACGCTTCACTACACTACACTCAATTACACTGCACGACAACTACAACTACAATTACAACTACACAACATTACAGTACACTACACTAATTACATTACAGTACGCTAACTACATTACTCTACTCTACTCTACCCTACTCTGCTCTACTCTATTCTACTGTAACTCGACTCGACATGACACGACACGAACTACAACTACAATTGCAACTGCAACTGCTACTGCACTGCAACTACACTACATTCCACTACACTATACTCTGCTACACTATACTCCACTACACTCCACTACATTATACTAAAGTTACAATGAGAACTACAACTACGACGGGCTACAACTAGACTACATTACACTAATTACATTACACTCCACTCCACTACGCTACACTAACTACAACATATTCCAACTACAGCTACAACTACCCTACTTTACACTACATTACACTAGACTACACTACACTACCCTATATACATTACATTAAAATTATACTACACTCATTACACCACCACAAAAGTAATTACACTACACCACAACTACGACTCCACTACACTACAACTAAAACTACAGCTGCACTACACCACACTACATCCAGCAGTTGTGGGTGAGGTGACTGACCAGGTGACCACTGCAACCATTGCACCACTTCAAAAAACACAACTACAACCACCTTTCGGTCTATCAGTGGATTCGCTCTGCCATTCGTGATTAACAAGAACCAAGCTCTCCTATAGGTTTCCTATTCTGAAACTTCCGTAAACCGCCTTGTGCGGTACTGCTGGTATCAGAAATTACCCTCTGGTAATTTAACATAGCTATTGAAAATGGCCATTTATAGTGGATTTTCCCATTAAAAATTGTGATTTTCCATTGCTATGTTAGTTTACCAGAGGGTAACCATCGCGGTAACACTTGCACCAGCACCAGGAAAGACAGCCCTGCTGACTGCGCCATGAACACTAGGGAACCGTGACAGACAGAACGATGACAACACAAGAAAGGAACTGCCACGGCCATTATAGCAGAAAGTGAGATGGCAACAACGAGGTTTCCTTTGAGGATCGTTGGAATCGTTGGATGACAACATGTGCCTTCGTGTGTTAAGGGCGAAGTGTCACAAGCCCTTTCATCCACAGTAGTACGGGCAATTTGTAGCTGCAGATGTTTAAAAAAAAAAAACGAAAACCAATAAGTCTTATATCCTACGATGATTCTCCTCAAGCAGCAAGCAGAAAACCAGAGGCCCATATTTGCCGCCATAGTACTCCACACCCACTGTATAAACTGGTTAGCATTGATGCAGCTACCAGAATCCTCAGCTACTCAGAACTCTCAAACATATGTCCACCTCCAAACTCGAAAAAAACACGAAGATTTAAAAAACTGGTTAGCATTGATGCAGCTACCAGAATCCTCAGCTACTCAGAACTCTCAAACACATGTCCACCTCCAAAACTCGAAAAAAAAACACGAAGATTTAAAAGAACAAGACCTTCCGTGACCCTCAGCATCATGCAACTCGAGTGCAACATACTTAAGCCAACTCTTTCCAGCTGGTTGCAGCCACGGGTTCTGATTCTTCGATGAACGTGTCTACTATGCGATCCAGTTGTGCGGGGACCAGACCTTTGCGGCTGCCCTGCTTTGTCAAAAGAAACCTTGGTTCAGGGCATAGCTGAGATGAACTGAGCGAGTGAAAGGGTCGCAGCATGTCGCAGCATGAAGTTGCTAGCCCAGTGCTGTGTTGTTGTGGTCTCAAGGCTACAACAGGCATGAATCGATAGTCTGTGCACATATCACGCTTAAAACCGGTGATACTCCAAACTGCGACCATTAAAGAAAAGCGTGGAAGCTGAAGCAAAACTATTGAGCCTTAGTAGGCAGCCTTAGCACATCTTGTATAATCCCCGTCAAGGTTCCAGTCATGGTCTTTTAGCTACAGAATTGAAGACACAGCTTGCAGCTGTGTGGCTGCAGTAATGCCTTCATTGTGTCGCGGTTGACTGTGCCGTGCTTTCCATGCCTCAGCGTCATCGAGTCATCAAAAATACCACCCCAAAAAAAGACAGCGAAGAGAGCAGGGAAAACCACTCAACGCAATGTTTCAAATGAGGCACGAGGCAAAAAGCTTGGCAATCCTTTCACCGACATCATCGGTTGGAGGCGAATCCGCTACAGCCATATCCAGCCCGCTGGGGGGTTCTGGCGCTGCTTCACATGCCTGCGGCCCGCTGCCAAGATCCACTGGTGGCAAGGGCGCTTTCTCAACTTGTTTTTGTACAGGCTTGCCCTTTGCTATATCTGCATCCTTGTCTTCACACACAACTGGTGATTGAACACCGGGTGTCACTGGAGCTTGCTTGGCCACTGGTGTAGGTGAAGTTGATGCTTTGAGCTCAGAGGGCGGGGTTGGAGCTGGTTGGCTTGGCGTTCGGTCACCCGAATCAGTTTTCGGCACTGGCGGTGGCACAGGGCAGGGTGTTTCTGGGTGCTTGATTGGGACTGGTTCATTGGCTGCAAGTTGAGGAGTTGGAGGTGGTGGTGGAGAATCCTCTTGCGGAGGGGCAGGGGGAGGTGGTGGAGGTGGCGAGGCTGTCTCCGGCGGTTCACTTGGAGGGAGTGGCGCCTTTGGGCCAGGAGGTGCACCTGACAGTGCAGCGCCAACCGTCATGGTTGTTGGTTGACCCGGTGTTCTAGGTCCTACAGGTGGAGGCCCAACAGGCGGAGCACCACACATCACACCAGGAGTTTGGCTTGGCACTGTCGCTTTGGGGCCAGGTGGTGGGCCTGACAACGCAGCTCCAACCGTCATGGTTGTTGGTTGGCCTGGTGTTCTAAGTCCTGCAGGTGGAGGCCCAACAGGCGGAGCACCACACATGGCACCAGGAGTTTGCCCTGGCACTGTCGCTTTGGGGCCAGGTGGTGGGCCTGACAACGCAGCTCCAACCGTCATGGTTGTTGGTTGGCCTGGTGTTCTAGGTCCTGCAGGTGGAGGCCCAACAGGCGGAGCACCACACATGGCACCAGGAGTTTGCCCTGGCACTGTTGCCTTTGGGCCAGGAGGTGGGCCTGACAGGGCAGCTCCAACTGTCATGGTTGTTGGTTGACCTGGTGTTCTTGGTCCTATAGGTGGAGGGCCGGCAGGTGGAGCACCACACATCGCACCAGGAGTTTGCCCTGGCACTGTTGCTTTGGGGCCAGGTGGTGGGCCTGACAACGCAGCTCCAACCGTCATGGTTGTTGGTTGGCCTGGTGTTCTAGGTCCTGCAGGTGGAGGCCCATCCGCACCACACATGGCGCCAGGAGTTTGCCCTGGCACTGCCGACTTTGGGCCAGGTGGTGGGCCTGACAGTGCAGCACCGAAAACTGTATTGGTTGCCATGCTCGGGTTGCCACTTGGTGGGGGTGGTGGTCCTGGTGGTGGAGCACCACAGGTGGACCCTGGAGTTGGGCCAGCAACTTGCGCTCTTGCGGGTACTGCAGAGGAAGGTCTTGCAGGCCGAGCCTTTGCACTCTCAGCCTTTGAAGGGTATTTTCCCGCAAGCCATCTCACCACTTCGGTTTCAACGTCGGAGCTTTCATTCAGCTCCTTGACAGATGCCTTGGCAAGTACAGCTCCCTGTTTCCACAAGACCAAGCTTCCCCCACACATAGGGTCAATGCCGACGTCTGCAAAAAACTGGGCTGTGACGTCGCTGAACACAGCTCGGAAGAGCCTGCAGCAGGATTGCAAGAAGCTCGTTGGAATTCTTGCATACCTGCCTCATTCTTGCACTATCTCTTGTTTAAGCAGAGCAGCTTTGGGACCACTTCCCCAGACTCGGCAAACTCCTCAAACTGTGGATCGAATTCATCACCTGATCAGGAATGAATCCAGATTTGTTGCTTGGAGACTCACTGCCGGCGTCATGTCAACCGCAGTTTCACATTACCAAAGTTCGTGCATGCAAGGGGCCCAGTGAATGGGGATTCTCAGCTGACTTGGCCCCGAAGCCAAAGTAGACCTTGCAACAACTGAACAACAGGGCCCCTTGACCACATAACATGCTTTGAGCAACCCAACCCATGCAAGGCTCTTGATGCTGACTTGCGGCCAAAACCACTTCATCACCTGAGACCGATTCGTTTAATCCGGCCTTGGTGCACAAGAAAAATGCTGAGGCTTGAGATGGAGCTCCTAAGCCGAGACTCCTTGGTGCACGTGAATCAATTTAGATAACTTAGGGAGCTCTGTGGAGCCTATACTGGGCCTACAGGCATGTCATTCCATGTCATTTCCACGTCTGCCAAGGTGCTTCGGAGGTGATATCCCTGATGCCTGAGCCTTGTGCCTTGGACAGGTGTAGCTTCGTTATGGTCGGAAGCAACAGTATCACTTTAGGCTTCGCTCTTCGCAATGCTTACCGCGAGTTGCCAACCGGTGGCAAAACTATTGTAACTATTGCAAATGGTATGCCGTATGCTCAGGATACAGCACAATAACTCAATGTAATTCTTCAAACTAAGTGGCCATGTCAGTGGCAAATGTCTCAGGAATCGTCGTTGATGTTCACTCTGCGGAGCACCTAATGGATGGCTGCGTGTTGCATTTGATACATGTATATATGTATATAATTGTATATATACATCTTCTTTTCAAAATCAATACGCTGGAAAAGGAAAGCAATACTTTCCAGAACTCAGGATGGCACAAATGATGGTTGAGACCCAAATGGAAAGGTCTCCATGGAATCACCAGCTACAGGCTTGCACCAAAATTGCGGTGGAAAAATGAATTCAATGTATGCTGGTTCTTAAGTGTGCTGCGTGCTGTTGCCTCGAAATTGACATGTAGGAATACTCACCCAACCGATCAAAGTGTGCAAGAAACTTTGCGCTGGGAAATAAACTCAGAAAATTCATCGTGAAGAATCCTCTGAAGTTAAAATCGGGTACCCTCTGGTGAACTAACATAGCAATTGAAAATCACCATTTTTAAATGGAAAAATCCACTATAAATCACTATGGTTTATCAATGGTTTATTCATGCTGAGCTTGCCGGGCCAGTCTCAGGTCCGTGACTTTCGGCACCGCCACCAGCTGAGTCTCTTCCTGATCTTCCTGGCCGTCTCAGGGGTGAAAATAGGATTTCCACAAGAAAAATGGCGATTCCATCAATTCCAAAATGTTTAACCGAAGTTTAACTTGATTTCAGCAAAACGTTGAACTTAGAAGACTTAAGACTCCTCCGACTCCGTCCAGGTCTCGTAGACGCCCTGACATCATTTGACTGATACACAGGAAGAACAAATGCCTAAAAGCAATACTCCAATGTGGCTGCAGCAGCAGCTCCCAGTTTTCATTGCAATCTTTTCAGTTGAGCTGGGGTGGCTCCAAAAACCTTTTTTCTGATGCACAATGCCTCAATTGATCTCAACCCCTTGAAAACACCAACTGATCCTCTCTCTCAACACAATTTCACACAACAAACCTCAACATGAAAGTAGCTGCTAAATGGATCTAAATGGCTAAATCAAAATAATCAAACAATATGAACAATAGAGATGTGAAAGGAAAAAAGAAAGAACAAGAAAGAAAAAGACATGCTCATTGTTTGATTGGCCATCCCTAGTCCTAGTCCTGCGGCCAAATCCTCCGCACCATGGCCTTGGACTTTTTCGCCCGGCTCGCAGACGAAGCCTGCAATGCAACTATCATGCCGTGCTGGCGAATCTCTGAGTTTCAGCATGAAAGCATCCAAGCTGGCGGGTTTACTCACAGCTATGAACAAATCTCACCATGCCAATGGCACACCAGTGGCTATAATCTCACCTAAAAGAGCGCAGATATGTGCACATAAGACATGATAAAACCACAACACGCACAGCGCAACGAAAAATTGTTCAAAATGTTCCCTGCTCTCCGGATGTTTGGTCGCATTTTCAACGCCAGAGTTGGCAGGAAATTCATTGTGATCAAATTTGCTTTAACCAGGACCTACAGGACAAGTATGTCAGCTGTGTATAGTTGTATTATTACGTACATATGCGCGCATGTATACATATATATATATATACATATGTGTGTGTGTTGTACATACATGTACATACTGAATGGGTTACGTTTACACTTGCCGCATTTTCCGGCGGCAAACTGTGCACCAAATGACTGCTGAGCATGTAGCCAAAGAATGCCCTAGCCAGCCCTAGTCTTGCCTCCTCGGACTTTTTTGCTCTGCCCTTCGCCGACGAAGCCTGCTATATCGTGCGCCAAGCGGAAAGAACCCAGCACAGTTCTGTTTCAGCGGTTTTGGGCCATGGCCATGGCCATGGCCAAGTCGTGGTTTGCATAAGCTCAAACAAACCACTATGTTGAAACACTGGCATGTGCCACCTACCTTGATTTCCATCCCCTACTATCGCCTACCATCATCTGCCATCATGTATCATCATCTATGTGCTATGGTCAGGACTCCGTTGTGGGACGGACACAAATCACCCAGACAGGGTAAATTGGGTGCGTTCAGAAATGGTGGAGGGGCATCAACCATTGGTTTCCCCTGCGAAAAAAAATGCATCACACCATGAAACGGAGAACGTTGGGAGTCATGGGAAACAGCCAGTTAAGAATCTGACTAAGGCCCCCATTTCAGACTTGATTGAAAATTCCTTGGAAGACTGCCGTTTCGAACTCTCACGAAAACTGAAAAAGATATTGTAAATGCGGTTCCTTCATTGAAATGTGGCGTGTCAGAAGGAATTCGCTATAGGCTTTCATTTGGGATTTCTTTAGGGTTTCATTTAGGATTTCTTTGGGGTGTCTTTGGATTTCATTTAGGTGTCTCGAGAGTTTCATTTAGGTGTCTCTAGAGATTCATTTGGGATACAAAAAGGAGAGCATAAAGAATAAAGCAAAAGAAGGGGAAAAAAAAAACAAGAGACAGTAAAGAAAGGAAGCAGGAGAAGCAGAGGAGCAAAAACGCATGACTGCAGAAAAAGAAAAGTAGAAGTAGAAAGGCAGAGAAGCAAGAAAAGCAAAAAAGCGGAAAAGCGGAAAAGCAAAAAAGCAAAGAAGCAGAGAAGCTGGAAAAGCAACAAAAGCAGAACGGCAGAGAAGCAGAGAAGCAGGGAAAAATCAAAGAGCGGAAAACCAAAAAAGCAGAGAAGTAGAAAAGCAGAGAAGCAGGAACAGCAGAAAAGCGAATCAAAAAAAAAAACTAAACCCGATCAAAAAGAAATAAAGTAAAATAAATAGCCCTCCAAAACTAGCTGCCCCCTGCCAACGCACGGTGCCTTTGCTGGAGTCGATTCCACTTTAACCTCCACTTTGGCCTCCTCTTTGGCCTGCAGACTGCAAATTTCTTCAACGCAAGACTGAGAGCCATTCCACTGACCGTTTGGTAAATTGAACATAGATATGGAAAATGGCCCATTTGTGGGGAAAAAAACTATCTGAAGTGGATAGAAATCGTGAAAATCACATGTCCAGATGTTAAATTGGCAGAGGATCCTCATGCCCACCGTACTGCCTCCTCACCGGCCTTCGCGCTGGTCGTCTGGGCCTATTCATGACTGAGACCCACCGTGATGATGGGAATCTTTCTTCCAGGATATGGATATGTCGTATTTAGATGAGTGGTTAATCACTAGTTACATGATATCCCACACAAACCCATATATTAAAATATCCCAAAGATCTCTGGTCATCCCAATATCTTCAAAGGTCAATAGTCATTCGATTTATATATTAATGGCTGAACTAAGCCCACTTACCAACCACTTAGGATCCGTGGATGGTAACGGCTCCTCATCTTTGACCAGGTCCACGACTGCTGCAGCTTGGCGCTCACCCTGCGGCTGCAAAGATTCGCATCACACCCACATGGTAGGAAGAAACAGCTAAAAAATATGGGAAAATGATGAATATGGAGGGAGAATATGGAAAAGCTGATTGATTTGTGAATCATGACCCAATTTTCAATAGGTTTTACATAGTAGTTTCTAGGGATGGAACAAGTCAAAACCTCGTCCCAGATGGGATTCTTCTTACTAAGTCTTATTATCATCTAGCTGGTAGATGTAAAAATATTTTGAATTTGTCGGCGGAAAATCATTCACTTTTAGAAACGAAAAAACGCATGGTTTACCATCAACCAGAACAAAGTTGAGGGCAACTTGCCAGGAATTATATACGTGGGTTGTTAATGGTTGTTACATGTTTTTCACGATGTTTTTGCCCGTAGAATTCCTTGTGGGGTTTCGGAAAATATTCCTTTCCGATTGCGGTTGCCTCGATTTCCTTCATCGCTGCTTTAAAAGTGGAACACCAGATATTGTTCTCTGGGGATTTCGTTCTCATCTCGGACTGGGACCAACCAGGTCCTAACTTCGTCCAGCTTCCCAGGATGGAAAGGTGAGGCACCGACCAGTTGTTAACCCACATCTTTGACGGTTTCTGGTCGGTGGCTGCACATTTGAAATGTAAACCCCAACAATCAACCACATCCTATTTTTCCAGAAATGGGTGCTGTGCACCAGCCACCTCCATTGTGGCATTGGCATTGTGTCAATCCCACATCACCAAGCCTCATCATTCTCCTGGATCAGTTTCATCAACTTTCCAAGCGAGTCCTGTCATGGTTTTGTCGGGAGGCTGCTATCAACATCTCGCATGACCATCCAACGTACCCTCCGGTAATCAAACATGGCGGGCTACTGAATTAGCATTGCAGTGGAAAACCATCCACAAATTAGGGCCATTTTCCATGCCCACGTTTGATGACTGGAGGGATTTTAATATATTTTAAATTATGTTAATATCATCTGTGAGCACTTCAGCTGTCAATGTTGAAGGGCACCTGGAGGGCTGGAGGCATTTTCTTAGGATCTGGAGGATCCTGTTCCTGTGCGGGAAATTCGCGTATAATACGTGTATAATATATATATATACGTATCGTATAATTACACGTATACATATCGTGTGTGTGTGTGTAAGCGTAAGTGTAAGCGTAAGTGTAAGTGTCAGTGTAAGTGTAAGGTATTTTTAAAAAATTGTCTATAGTCTATAGTCTATACTAATACAATGTAAAGGATTGCAAAGGTATGGCAGTTGCAGAAGTGCAAACCAGGCGCGGCTTGTTTATCAAGTAGTGAATCAGTGTTGTATATGTGCCTTTGGAGGGGTGAACACACACACACTTGGATTTTGCAAATTGCACCACTGTCAATAGTAACTAGATCAAAAGGGCAAGGCATACACTGGCATACATCCACCCGTGACTTCAGTTAACCCCAATTCCAACTGCACGTCCACTGCATCATGAGTGCAAACAGCTGGTTTGAGAAGCCTCTTCATCCTGCACCGAGCAATGGCTTGAAGAAAAAGAATGCATCGAACATGGTAGACACGTGACGAGGCATGGCAGAATTGCCAAGACATGTGAGAAGTTGCAGCCTACGTCTGGCCTGGTCATGGTCATCGAAATCAGAAAACCTCGGACGGGTTCGACTTGAAGTCCAGTGGAACTGTCATGCGATGATCTTGGATGATTGAAAGGAACCCTGGCAGTCCAACTTTCAAAACGCTTCAGTCCTTCGTCACTGCGCCCGCACAAACATGCATCATGCACCATAATGCACCATGATGCACCATGCACATGCGACGAATTGGAGGAAATGCCACCTTTTTTTGATCTGAATTGCCCTGGTCGGAAGCCATGTTTGTCGGCTGCATACCGGACAAAGCGCAACAATTTCTTGTCTGCATGCCAGTAGCGTAGGGTTCGCTCCACATCATCTTTGATTTGCCCCTGTCTGGTGTAGAATCGAGGGCTGTGCCTGACGCGAAAGCCAAACCATGCCCCAAAAACCAAGCCCAGACCAGTTGAAAGCATTGACTATGCCCCTAATGCACTCAGAATGGTTCCTCTTGCACCAGTTGCGCTTGTGCCATTCGTTCCATTCGTTCCGCTTAGCCAAAGATGCTTCAAAGCATCGTCGATGGTTGGACGTTTCTCAGGCTCGACCGTCATCAATCTGCGCACCAAATCTTTGGCCTCTGGCGATACAGCCTCCCACTCCTCTGCGTCAAACTCATAACGCCCTTGGAGGATTTGATCGTACAAGCCATCAGCTTCAAAAGGAGGCGTTCCACTCAGCAAAATGTAAAGGACAACCCCCAAACTCCACATGTCGACAGGCTTGCCATATCCAACTGGTCCAGAAGGCTCCTGGATGATTGGTGCTTTGAAGCCGCGTACAAGCTCTGGAGCAAAGTAGTGAGGTGTGCCGCAAGTAGTAGTAAGGTTTGAATTGTAAGTCGCAGCCACTCCTAAATCCGCAATCTTTGGCAGACACGTGGATCTCTCCTTGGAGGTTAAAAGCACATTGTCCGGCTTCAGGTCCCTGTGGACTATATCCTTGCCGTGCAAGTAGGACAGGGCCTCACAAATGAGCTTGAACAACCGACGCGCATGGCCCTCTGCAAAGCAGCCACCTGCAGAGCAAGGGCGCAACATGGCGCAAAGGCCAAAGTTGCCAACCTTTGCCTTCGTCCCTTCCCTTCAGGAGAATTGTACAACAAAGGAAAACAAAAGAAACAAGGCAACGCCTGTAATAACAGGAATGTTTTCGTATTGACATACATGTTGCAAAGCAGCTTTGCCCCAAGTCTTCTCTACTTCTGCAGGTTGGTTGCCCGGACCGTGCCAGCGTGCCAAAAACGTGCGCATTTGCATAGTTATCTCTCAGCACTTGCGCTGCACACATCTCTTCACTCGGAAGTTGAGATTTCAAGTTTTCTGTGGCAGGATTTTTGATTCAATAGCCAGACACTGCAATAACGCTCATTGTGATGCATTTATATATATATATACAATGGATATGTTTTTCTTCTTGAACAGCATCAGTCTTGTACACACGGACGGTTCCAGGTATTTGGCAGAACGCAGTTCGGAACCAAATTCCACCCCCAAAATATGAAACCTGATGCGGGTGCCTCTCCCATGATGTATCTTCAGTACCTTCATGTATCAAGCATTAGGACTCGTTTCTGCAGTGAATATCTGCAGCGCTTGAACAGTTTTGAACCCTGTGCAAAATGCGGAAATCCTGCGCATGGAATATGAAATACCATGGAATACCCATTAGTGTCATGGGAAGCTCACCTCCTCCCAGCTACACTTCTTGCGATATTCATGTGATGTATCCTGGTGAATTTAAACCTTGGGCACTCTTGTGCACAATGTGCACTCATCGCAGCCTCCTGCTACCCTGTCCAAAGGGTGATCCTGGTCAAAGCTTGCGCCTTGCATGATGTTCTGCAGCAGGTCACCACCTTCCAAGAGCTCCATCACCAAATAGAGGCTGGTCTTGGTCTGAAACCATTCGAAGCACTTCACAATCCCCGGGTGGTCCAAACCTTGGTTCTCGGAAATCTTGGATGAACAAATACGGACAATAACAATTCTGATATATTCTGATCCTTGATGTGAACAGTTCTCTGAAGGTGTACGTTGCAATCTTGCCACTGGGATCGTAGTCTGGATGTGTCTGGATGTGTCTGGACCAGGTTCCAACATCGAAGTCCGATAGCCAAAGATATCTAAAGTGCTCCGTGTGCTGGCATGCATCCACGGAAAATTAATCTGCCTACCCTGCATGATCTGTTCTCACTATTCGTCCGTGCTCGTCTATGTATTCGGGTCATGATCTGATATTCTCCGCTTTGCCCAGAACAACATTGGAACATATTGGAACAACCATGCTCACTCCACAAGAAGTGCCCGTTCTTTGCCTATGATCCCTGCACAGCTCAAACTCATCCCAGGTGGCCTAAAAAGGGCCACCTGTGGCCCAGGGCGCCCCATTGCCGCCCAGAAGCTGGTCAGGAGCTTTGCTTCATCTACCATGGACAAATGGCTGTTCCGCAGCATCTGAAAACTGTTGAATTTATTTCGGTTCACCACTTTGATGGCACGAAGTCGGCCATCTCCAGGCCCATCCCCGATACAAAGACCCCGCCGAACCTCGCTGAAGGTGCCCTGAAGGCAAGAGAAGGCAACGGACCCCAGCTGCGAATGGGATTGGGATTGGAGATTGGAGATGATTGGAGTGTCCGGGGCTGGCAATACATCTTGTTTACAATTCAGCTCTTAGACATCTTCGAAGTGGAACAGAGAAAGTGAAAAGATGTGAAAAGATGTGTAAAAGAATCCCCCAAGGAATCCCGAAACTCACAAGGATACACCAGGAGGCGTGCCCCGGCCTTGCCAATCAGATTCTTTATGTCAATCCGCATGTCGTACTTCGCCTGGAACTCTTCCTCCGTGCTGAGGGTGCTAAGATCAGTTCCAGCCACCGAGATGTCATCGACACAGGTGGCATCACCAGGACCTGCTACTGTGGCTCCTGGTTCGACGGCTTCAGCCATCTTGAGCCGCTTGAGTGGTCGTTGCCGTCCATCTGGCTCAGTGAGACGAAAAACAAAAACTGCAAAGGGCTGGTGTTCTGGTGCCTCTCCAACTGACCGTGGGGGGTTCAGCACTGAAATCTCATCGCCATGTTGGAGGGTCCGGACATCGCCTTTTGCGAGCCGCTGACTGTTCAAGAAGGAGACATTCCGACCCAGCTGCTCAATGTAAAAGCCATAAGGTTGCTGTTGGTAGATTCGAATGTGCCTCCCAGATTGGTATGGCAGAGATCGCAGAACACGCATGTCAAGCTAACAACCTAACCCTAAAGTGGACATAAGAAAAAGTCGCCTTGCGGAGCAACGATTGTCATCAACCTCCACGTCGGCTTTGCAGCGTCCGATGACGAGCTCACCATTGATGTCGAAGCTTGTAGGAACACAGCTGGAACTAGTGGAGTCGCCTTTTTTCCTTAGCTGCACAATCGAAGTTTAAGTCTGCCCCTGATGATGTCTACATCTAGTCAGTCATGAACCCCCTTCTCTCTCTGTCCCATGCTTCCTTTAACTTCTGACTGTACAAGTTTGGCCTCTCTCGCTTTTCACTGACTTCCAACCATTCCCAAGGTGTTCCAAGGTGTTCCAAGGTGTTCCAAGGTGTTCCAAGGTGTTCCAAGGTGTTCCAAGGTGTTCCAAGGTGTTCCAACTTCACTGGAGGTTCTGAGGATTCTGTATGATCAAAATCATTCAATATCTATGAAGTTCTCAAGTTCTCAGCATAGCTTCTTCAGCAGCTTCACCACCAGCTCCGCTGACTCTGGAGCTGATTCCAGTGGCCCAGGATCTGCAGGTTGCGTTGCCTGTGTGCCCTGTGTTGCCTGCGTGGCCTCGAGCTCTTCCATGACCAAATGCATGTGAATTGCCCATTTAAAATTGCAAAAAGGTGAATTTGTGAAGTTTCTGACGTTGCTATTGGGGCCAATGGTTCAAAGCTGCTTTAAAATGTGAGCATATCTTCAGAGTGCCGTTCACAAATGTTGAGTTGTTCACGGCTGCAGCCTCCTAGATCTCCTAGTTAAAGGCAATGTTACTTTTCGACCAAGGAAATGGCCCAAGCAATCTTGAAAATTCTTCACACTAAGAGCCGCTTTTTTACTTTCGGTTTGCAACCTCATGAAATCTCACCTGCAGCTCAAATTGCTGCGGGCACGAAGCGATACCAAAACATCTTTGACTTCAAGCAGGGGATGCATGCCATGGCAAATCATTCAATCAAGTGAGTGCAGGGCGAGCAATGCAGCTGGCCATTCTCCATTCACCCTCTAGACACATCACATTTTTTCCAGAGAGACATGTCACCCCCTCACTCTTTGAAAATCTTCAGCACAAGAGACTTCGAAGCGAATGGATCCCCATGAATCATCACGAATCTTCCCTGGCTTAAAATTGGTCCATGTCATCCCCATATTTCACATCCAAGGCGCTGTTGAGCTCGGACCTTGCTTTTGGGAACAGCGAAGGCCAGGAAGCCTCAGAAAGCTCTGCATTCTGCAAGCGATACTGTGCTCATGTCTGCTTAGAGTCTACTTGGACATCAATGGCAAGAGTTCTACGAATCAGCCAATTTCCATTCTATACCGTCTATACTATACCCTTTTCTCGGTGCAAAGTAAAGCTCGTGCATAGCGACAAACGGGAGAGAAGGTGGGTTCTATTACCATGCCAGCGATCCCGCAGTGACAAAGCCTGTTCTTTCTCCCGACGCAATCACGCCGCACCTTGCAATTTGGCTTCACCTGAACCTGCGTCAGGCAGAACCACACTACAAGTAGGATAAGATGGATGGTGTAAACGAGGCAACACAAATGTTGCAAGCAGAGTCGCACCTTTGTCTTCGCTTCCCATGGTTCCTGTGGGCGCACTGATCCATCAACTCTTTGAATACTTGCACATGATGAAGACACACCAAACATCCACCTCAACAAACATAGATTCCTTCACGGCAAATCATTACACAGAAAGTTAATCGCCACATGTGCCATGATCCAAAAATGGTATAATGTCTGTGTGTGGGTCATGGTAATCCATTCCAGAATGGGAATCCTGATAGTGGGCATATGATTCCCTGTTAATGAAGGGATGACCCAAACATCCACCCCACATCACACCAACATGGGTATACGGATGTATACGGTATACGATCCAACTATGGACGGGCTGCATGCGGATCCGAAGCATCTACTCTAACTGCCATGAATTAATGCCGATCACTATGGACTATGGGGGCTGCTTCTTGGCCAACTGGCTCCCCGTCCTATTCTCACTAAATTGCAGGAAAGACTCGAGATCAGAGAGACCTCCACAAAGAGAGGAGAGAGAGAGAGAGAGACGAGACAAAGACAGAGACAGAGGCAAAGAGGAAGTGATAGGTGATGCCGGAGCTTCCTCACCCCGAATCCCACTATCACTATCATATCTATCTGCTTCGCGAATCTATTTTGCGCACTGCACGGACAGGAAGCCGCTTTTTCATTTTTTTTCCACTAGTCAGTTGCAGATTTGAGGCCGTGCTCAGTCCGTGGTCATTCGGTAGTCAGGTTGGCCAGCTGCCGCTTTCCAGACACTTGGAACCCGTCGAGAGCTGCACATGTCGACTGCCTGGTAGTCCATGACAAACGTCTCGACTGAGGGAACGAGCCCAGTAAGCAGAGCGAGCATTCCTTGTCCTGGGTGAAATCACATCTTCTTCACCTTAGTTGATCTTAGTTGTCCAAACATACAGTGACAACTCGAAGCAGGCTGAGCTGCTTTGATGTGCCATGCTGTGCCAAGCTGCAAAGATGTCACCACGTTTTTTCCCTGCAGCAGGCCGCTGTGCGTCGTAGGTCTTCTTGTTCTCGGCAAGGGAAGCCTCTTCCATCATTCAACAACTCCAATGCTTTAACTTTAATGCTTCAATGCCACATTCTTGAAAAAGGACAGTTGCAAGCCTCCCATTCAGCAAAGCCTTCGCCAAGCATGTCTACCATGAGATGGCGCATAAACCTCAAACAATATCGAGAGAAGGTCTTTTAACCACTTCATGCGTGCAGAAAAGATCGGTGCTTTTCTCCAAAGCAAGGCACTCATCACAATCTCCATATGCTCGAACTCCTCCTTGGTTTCCGGAAGCTCTGGGGAATAGCTCCCCGAGCGCCAAAAAAAACCGTGTGATAATGACCTACAGTGCCCACAGATTCGCCGAGTCCCCCTCTCCAAACCCACTACTACAAACGAAAAATATGACCAACGGTTTCCAGGGCCTGCAAGACCACCCAAGGCACTATTGCCTTCTAGTAGTAATCAAGGGCCTGCAAGTTTAATCACCAAGGTTTGCACAAACTCAGCAGAGTTTCCAGTTGAAGCGCAGCGCTGGTCCATTTCAGTGTCCTGATTCCATGTGGGTCTCGCTTCAGCCCATGTCACGAACAAACTCCAGCAACCCAGTGGAGATCCCTATCCCTGCCATGCAGTCCTGTCGCACGCAAACTATCAGAGGCCCCTTCTGGACAAGAACCACCTCGGCCAAAACATGCTGCTGATGATATGTGGCACTCGCTACGCAGGCATTGGACATTGTCGTTTGTGATGTCTTTTGAATGATGATCGAGTAAACCATTGATTGGGAAGAATGTGATGCGTTTTGCAATGCTGTGCCTTGCCTGGTTGGAGGGCCCGATGCTCATGGTGCTTCCCAAACTGAGGCAGGCATCAGCTTCAACTGCATGCCTAAGTCTCTCAGCACTTATCCAACACTAAAACGCCCAACATCAGTGAGACTGTCACCTGAGATGGGTGTTTGATTCCTGATGCCTCATACTCATAGGCCTTCGATTTCGCAAACGCAATTCTTGACAAGTGACTCAAAGGCAGGTCGCAAAACGCATTCTTCCAAACCATCCCCAAAGCTGATGACGGTATCATGAAGTGGCCTTGGATACCCACACAAGCGGGAAGGCCACGGAAACGTCTGAACTCAGTAGGTTTGTTGGCGAATCATGGTAGCTGGTAATGGGAAATAATATGGAAGTAATCTGGAAATCATGAAAATACTAGGGAAATAATATGTAAATAGTGGGAAGGCTTCTGAAACATTGGCAGAGCAGCAACGAGTTGCCAAGTGATCCAAGTCCAAGTAGCTGACCACAATCATCACAGCTGCGGCCTGTCCAATGGTTGCTACCGCATCCCCGGCAACGCTTGATATGGGAAGGCATGGGGCCCGGCAACCTTCCAGCAAAGAAATCCTCAGCTTAGTGGCAATGCTGAGGTACGTTCGGTATGTTGAGGCCTGACATGTCTTGACATGTCTGGACTCTGGAGCCGCTAGTAGACCGATCTTTGGAAGTTTTGGGTGTGACACTGTGCCTCCATCATTGAGTATGAAGTTTCAACCTTCACAAGGAGTAACCCCCAAACCACAGAAGCAGGGAGGACAGGATGTATTCACGGTGAGTCCAAAGAGGAAAGGAAGAAGGATCAGTTGACAGGTCTGGGCTAGGGTAGCAGCGATTCAAGATCAACAATACGTTATTGTAATTACATGTAATTACTGCAATCACTTGGAAAGACAGAAGTTCCAAAGGTATTGGAACCAAAAGTAATGGAATCCAGCAACAGCCCCCCCGCTGAAGACTGCATCAGCCAGTTTAACAGCTGAAACGCAAATGAAGCAATTTGCTGCAGCACAGGATCTTCAGCCCGATCTTCAGGAGCATAGGTGTCCCGCCTAAATCTAGAGCACGCTGCAAAAGAATGCTTAAAGCACTTCACCACTCTTGCATACACTTGCACACTGTCTCCGGGAAAAATCTAATTATCTGGAATCTGGACAAAAGCTGATGGGCCAGGCGTATCCAAGCTTCACATAGCGCTTTCCACAATTTGGACAGTACTCAGTGAAGGCTGAACCATGGACATCCGAGAGCTTTGTGTACGGAATGCCGCTCAAGTGATGCAAGCCGTCAGCGTTCTGGCTTACAACATATCGAATCCTAGGCCGCAGGTACCGCGGGGCCAAAAAAAGAAGCAACAGTTAGGAGCTCAAATCTCAGCGCTGGTACTTGCCGATTTAGCCAAGCATCTTCCCCAGTTCAACTAGTTTGGCCACAGCCTCGTGGCCGAAAGTGGGCCTCAACTCTTCGTAGACGGTGGTGTAGGCCTCATCTACGCCTCCAAGGCATTTCGCTTCAAGGTCCAGCGCGCTGCAACTTTCAAGGACCAGTTGAAGTGATTTGTACATCTCCCATGATCCATGAACCAAATTGATATTTATGTATGCAGAAGCCGTGGCTTTCAGTCCTATGACGTTCAAGGAAGGCCTTGACCCTCGAGGGTCCACTTTCCTCGCTTGCCACGGTAGTCACCCAACCCAGCAGCGGTAGAGAGCCCTGCGCCAGTGAAGCAAATGGCTCGCCTGTCGAGACAGTCGGAAGAACATCTCTCCATCAGAAGGGTTCACGCCATTTTTGAGAAGTTAACATGTATGGACTACCATGACTACCCTATATGGCAGGAGTGAGCCGAGCTACGAGCTTTGGCGCAGTAACCTTGCTGCTTGCGATGCTTTTTGCTTCAAATCCTTACTGCAAAATCTTCAAACATCGAAACGTCGCAGGATGTTTGGCAGATTTTGGCAGCATCTTTGGCCAAGCCACGTCAGCGGAGTCAAAGTGTTCGGCAGTCGCGGCCGCCAGCTTCAGTCTTTGCAGTTCATTCCGAGGAAAGGATGCGCCTGAATCGACTTGTCCAACTCGTCCATCCACGGAGTTGAACATCTCTACAAGATTCTACAAATAAGATCAAATAAGCCAATGAAACAATACAAACAATGCAGTGCATCCCCACTTGCAGAACGTTTACACGCCATGCATCGCCATGCCACGTTCTTGAAGCAAAGATTCCCAGCAGGATTTGTGGAAAGCCATGGGAGTTCCATCCTGCCACTTGATCATGCTGTCTGAACGTGGAACTTCTCCTTTCAACGAAATGGCTACTTCCACGCGTGCGTCTTCCTCAGAAATGGTTTGCTTACAGTCCCTCCGGCTACATATCCAAGAGCCCTCACTGGCGGGGCGCTTTCGTGCCCCCATGCTCGAACACGGGCGACGTGCCGACAGCGTCAAGACTGCAGAAATACCCAGCCGGCACCGTTGGGAAGTGTCAAGCACTGCCGAACTGTCGACACCGAACTGTCGACAGGAAAGTTTCGAAACAGACCACGCTCGATGGAAGTCGTGTAGCGGGGTGCGTCCGCCCGAGAGAAGGCGACCGGAAAGCATGGGCTGCACGTTGCTCAGAAGCACTTCCAATTTGAACCAAAAAGAGTCAAATGAAGTGTCACCGTCAGCCACCATTGACCATGGATACCATGGCACAATGGAACTAAAAAGCACCAGCAACGAAAATCCTGGCCTTATCAAGGGAGCACTCTACTGCTTCCAATCCTCAAGGTTGGCTGGTTTCTTGCCAGAGCTGCAGGGTTGTATTCAGGCGTATTCAAGTGACTGTATATTAAAAAAGCCGTGCCCCAAACAAAAAGGGGAGCCTAGGAGTGTTCCCACCAATCCATCAAAATTCATCAAGATGTCCTTGGGACCACCACAGGCCTCAGGAACCTTTATTGTTCCGCTTCGACCATTGGTCTTGCCCCAAATCAAAAATAAACAAAATCTAAATAATCATGGATCCCTCTGCATCAGCATGTCTATCTCCCTGAGGTGGCTACTACTTCTCGTTTCCAGGAAGTAGCTGACCAGCTAAACCAAGAAAAGGTGGAGCAGGGGCCTTGCTTGGGTGTGGCTCAAAAGCAAGGTGCTACTCTAGCACCACCAGCTTCAGGGCTGTCGATTTTGGCTTTGGTGCCATCAGAAATTCGTGACTCGATGGATCACAGAACTTGGAGGCCTGATCCTTTGGACCTGTTCTGGCTTGAGTGGCACAGAAATTCACTCCAGATTCTACATCAGTCCCCTGCCTCTTGTAGTGACACTCTACCAGTGTCTGGCCTCAGGGAAGTATCACTGTACCACAAAAATGTAACTGGGGTTGCATACAAATTTGTAATCCAATAGTGTTATTATCATTGTCTTTCGGTGACCAGTACCATGAAACCTATGCAAACGCCTACGACGAGCCTACGCCCTTACATGACGTAGCCTACATGGTGTAAGTTCTTCAGGGGTGCCCATGCGACCCTACGCAGTGTAGGCTTTGCCGATGCAGCAATGATTCCTTGTGTTTTCTAGTGGCATGATATTTTGCTAAATGAATGATGTCTAACTGTTGTAAACGAATATGTCTACGCCAAAAGCCTACGCGGTGAGGCTACAACGACCCTATGCCAGCACCTATCCAACCTACGCCGTGTGCATGGTAGCCTACGCCCAGGACATAATTTGTTTTGCCCATTGATCTACAGTACTTTCCTGCATTGGAGGAGGGAGAAAACATAACGATATATAGCGATACTCAACTGTTAAAAAGTGATGCTAATCAAATGCTAATCCTTTTTGGACATCCAACTTACCTTTTTCATCCTTTTTCCTGGTCAGAGGATCCGACGACCGCCATTCCGTGCGGGACAAATTCAGTGAATAGTCGAAAAGTTGATACGATGTTGATGGCCGTCACCGGACTAATCAACTCGCTAAAGTTTTTGGTTGTGAGTAGTACAGTGTAGCACACATGAATGCCCGTCGAACATCCCGTGCCAGGCAAATCACTTTTGTGTGTTGGGTAGATTGAAAGCTACCGGTTTTTGGGGGCATGGCAAGCTTAAGATCTTGCAGGATTGATTATGTTATGTCTCTCAAGATCTCTCAAGATGTGTGATAGCTCCAATTGTGAAAGCCTTTGTGATGATGTTAATCAATTGCAAAATGAGATGCATTCCTTGTGGTTCATGGCCTATAGTCTCATGAGCACTTCTCCTGCAGCCCCTAAAGCCAAAGCATTGAGACAAAAGGCGCAGTGCAAGCTCCAACTCAGTGCGACGGCGCGTGAGTGGTGACGATTCAGAGAAGCTCCACTGAGGTACCGTGATGCTCAGGAAATTCTAAGCTCTCGACACATCTGACGTTGACTTTTTCTCCGCTCTGTGAGACATGCCGGCTGCGTCGTTCACCAACACTTGTGTGCCAACGGCGTAAGAGGTACAGTTCTTGCCAAGCCTGTAGCCATGCTACAGCGGCAGAACAGGAAGGCACGGCACCGAAGTGAAACAGAAGGCCTTTTGAAGTCACGCAATGCAGAACTTAATCTAAGATTAATATCGTCAATGGATATCAATGGCACAAAGCTGCACAGCATGATGCAGCATGGATAAATGACAGTGCATCTTCAGACTCCAATGGCGGGGCTCAACAAGCCCATTTCAGCATGTTAATTGCATTTGGAAGCGCTCGGAGCAGTCCCATAGCCATCAAGACTAAGGCATATCATCGTCACAAAGTGAAAGCTTTAGAAACCGCAACTTGCGTTGCTGCTAGTGCTCATCACTAGATAAATCTACATGGACTGCCCTGCCCAAAGTGAGCAATGCACTTCCCAAGCATGGAGAAGCATGCTTTCAAACACACTTTGCTGACTGCATTTCCCAACACTCCCCTGTAGAAAACGGGACTTTCTTCTCCACACTCAAAGCCAATGTCCTTCGGACTCGTCACACTACGAAATGATCGGCACGCGTACGCCTTTGCAATTTGCGGAGAAGTGTGCTAGCTGCTAGTGGACAAAGGAACTCACTGTTAATCTGGAAGACAGGCAAAAAGGCCACATAATGCAAGGCTTAATACAACAGATTGCAACACCTGCTAGGGTCCAGAGGTTACGCCTTTTATATACTTTTATGGGAGGAAGCTGGCCAAACAGTTTCGCTTCCTGATCTCGCGGCGTCGCAGCGTAGCAAAGCTGAGGTCCAAGCTGTGGTGAAAGGTGGCCACTCAGCGGCCGTCGGCTTCAAGACGCCTCGGCAGCTGATTTCGGCAGCTCGTTCCACGTCTCACACCAGTCCCTGAATCCAGGCGCCTTGTTCTGGAAACTGTCCTTCTTGATTGAAGCTGTTATCACACAAAGTTTTTAAAGTAGTTTTCGTGGCTTGTTTGACTACACTCTATATATATATACATACTATGTTACTATACCATATGTATATGATATATACACACATAGGCACCTTTTTCTGCTTTGCCAAATGCAGCGTTGACCTCACTAATCCTCAGTAAGTTCACCGCATTTCTGCGTCGACTCACCGTTCTCAAACAGGAAGCGAAGGAAGACCTGGAGCTATCTGGAGTTTCATGTTGACAATTGTTGACATGTCAGCTGCTTATCAGCTGCTTATCAGCTGCAAAAAAAGTTGCGATGCGCTGTGAATTTCGGCATGAGCTCACCACTTTGCTTCCGCATCGGTCATGGCCTGCACAGCAAAGCACCAACAGTGTAGTACGAATCAGGAACAACTACAACTAGGGTGTCATAATTATGTCTCATAATAATTTTAATTATATATGATATGTCTTGTGAACATTAGGGGCCGCATCAAATCCATCACTGTTTCAATACTCCACGCTATGCTGCACTGACACTCCAAGGCCCTCACGGGGTCCCAGCAGCCTGGGAGTGAAGCGAAACGAAGTGAAGTCAAAACGGGGAAACCATTCTGTGATCATCTGAGCATTGTGCGACAAATTGCGACAAATTGCGACAAGATAATTAATGATGATGGAATATGATGGAACCCAGGTGGCACCTTTGGAGAAGGCTTGCTGTTGCCATTTGTCCTTAGACGAAATCTGACGGACAGTGTGCATAAAATGCAAGGGACATCAAGAGACTGGGTAAGATCGACGTCTGCCGTGCACTTCGGCATGACTGAAAACTGAACCTATCTGCACCTCAAATCATTAAGCCGCTGACGCCTTTGTCCCATCTGGGGGTGTACCTGGCTTCTGATGAATGTCCGGCAACTTGTCCGCTTCCTTGACCTCTCCTGTCCTCGGAAATTTCAACTAGTGTCAATGTATGCTCGACAGCTACTAGATCTGAAATGCAGAACCCAGAAGGGACCAGGCCCAACTTCTTCACTGGCGGCCAGGTCCTGCTCTGACTGTTGCGATTTCAATCGATTTCATATGATTTTATTTGTTCAAGAATAGCTCGCCAAAGAGCTACAAAAAAATCGACCAATCAAAGGCTCAGTCCGAACCAGTCTTCTTCTTCTGCAGATTTGGAGCCTTGATTGCTTTACGGAACGTTCCCTTGACTACAATATTGCCATTGGAATGCTTTCGACTGGCAACCTGCATGACACCGTCGAATGCTGCTGTGCAACTTCTTCCTGCTTGGCAAGAAATTCTAAGGCTGCCGACGCTCCCACTTCGTTGCATAGAATTAGCGGCGGACTGTGCAAACAAAAACAATATGAAGAAACGAAGAGTTCATCTCCGCATGGTATGAGTATTATGAGAATTATGAGTCATGAAAACAATAGCAAGAAAAATCATCAAGAATAATAACAAAGATGTTAGCAATTGCTCTTTCGGTCGGCACTGGAACAAAGGACAAGTTGTGACAAGTGTAGCTTACCGGCGCTCGCCTGCTTCATTTTTGCCTCACTTGCTTTGGCAGCTGTCACGCGCCTGGTGCAAACTGTGCTCTGTATCTTCGATCCGGGTTTTGATTCGTTTGATTGTGCCACAGTTCAAAGATTTTCAAAGCAACTTCTGTAGGATTTCCTGGTTTTTTCCCCAGCGACTTTGCTCAGCAGCATCTGGCCAGATCTGCTCTCGCCCCTTTGGGGCTAGAACAGGAATCAAGGGCTGCTATATATCATCCGGGTTTCCCGCATATCTGTTCAAAACGGAAGGGTTGAATCTTGACACGTCGAATCGTCTAAAACGAGGTGTGGTTGGAATTGCGCGGTCAAAGACTCAAACTTTCCAAGAATGCTTCGGCATTTTTTATGGTTCATGAAATTTCATGATGCTGCACAATGCTTCACGCATCAGCTTCGGGTTTCTCTTCTTTGTCTTCCTTCCCCTTGCTCAGCCTGGCTCTATCCCCGATCATAGCAAGCGCGGAGGACACAATCATTTGCATGTAAACGACAATATAATGAAGTAACTCGAGTGAAAGTTGGTACCTTGCCTGTACTCCAAGTTTTGTGTTTCACTGATCTGACGGAGTCTTGGCCTCATGACGACAGGATCTTGTTCTGATGTTCTAATGCTGGTCAACTTGGGCATCGCACGTCAGGGTTTTGAGCAGATCCTCAATATCGTGGCCTCCGCCACTGCTACCTGCATCACTTCTGACAGTGCAACGCAACTTGGTGTGCTTCCGGTGGACGACATATTCCAACACACACGCGCACCTTGGGCTGGAGCTGTGGGATCTGGTGCGGCAGCTTTAGCAAGCATGCTTCCTAGCCAGACTTGCAGTCACCAGCGGGTCAAGTGGTCAGTGGGTCAGGTCTCTCTCCTTTTTTTGGAAGGGTCAGAGAATCCAGGATCCAAAAAAATGAAAGAACTACAAGCATTATGCCAGTTCTGCCCATAGAGCGTCATAAAATGTTATAGAGTTATAGAATGTCATTAAACTTTGTATCCTGCTGCTATCCATTGCTATTCTCTACTATCCACACCTCGTCTTTCACCCGCCCGAGTGGTGATAGCTTCCTCATCGAGGCGCCGTGCCTTTGAGGCCTTGGTACTGTGAGGCAAGGCCGGGACAAATCCAGATTCTAGGATTCTGCTACACTTTAAGCATGAGCTTCAATTCACTCATGCATTGATTTCAGTCAGACATGTCCCATCCATTGTCCTTTGCCGCTCCTTGATGCTCACAGGCCCCTTTCCAGGTCTAATCCCAGACCAGCCATTGCGGCTGTCGGTGCTGTGGCAACAAAAGGCTGCTGAGGCCTTCTGGCGCGTGAACTTCCAGTTGAACGATCTTGGGCCCAGTCATTTGCTCCATGGTGCTGCCACCGCTACATTGGTAGCGGAGCAGGACTCCCTCTGGGTGCTGCGGCTACAAGATTGGGGAGCCAGAGGTTCTGATCACCTTCGGCTACAAGTCGGGCAGTTCTTGCGAACTCTTGCCTCTTTCCATTTGGCGACTAGCAGTGTTTTTTTGTGCATTGAGCTTGGGGAACTTTGACGTCACCAGGGAGTTTGTAGACCACTAGCTCTACTGGTTGGTTCTGTTCACCTTGCACGTCATTGCCTTTGTGTTGAATCAAGAGTATAAGTGCGGCAAGAACCTTGGGGCATTCCTGAACTTTCTTGTTTCTCCTGAGCCTGAACTTCTCCTTTGACCTGTTTTTCTACATCATGTCTTCTGAAGGAAAAGATGTGATACCTAGCTGGTGGGATGGATCAGCTAGAACATGGAGAAGGTACACCAGGGAAGTTGCCTGGTATTTTCGCGCCACACCGTCCCACAAGAGACGCTATGTGGCGACCAAGTTGCTCAGCCGGCTTACCGGCTCCGCCAGACTTTTGGCGATGTCATGGACCGATATGGCGCTGGATGACTACAATGGGACAAAGACCCTGCTGCAGCGACTTGCAGTGAGCCCTCTTGTTCGTCAGTCGCTTCCGAATGCATCTGCAATTTCGGCTCAGCACTTTGACTTCCGAAGGAAGGTCAACGAGCCTATGACCACATTCTTGGTGAGAGAGTCTTTGGGCTTTACTGAGTTTGTAGAATGATTGGTGAGATAGGCTGAAGAGAAGAGGGCCTGCGTCCTGAAGACTCAGATTTTTGTCTGCCACCAGCTCCTCGATATGAGGACTGGTCAACATGGGATCGAGATGAAGATTTTCCTGAAGCTGGATGGTCATGGCACCGTGATTTTGATGCCGTGCCCACCATGGAATGTGGAGTCGGAACTTCTCCCATGGCTGACAGTGGTTCGCCGGCAGCAACCTATAACCGTGTTCCTCAAGAATCACCAGCTGCAAGCCGACGTTCGGAAGCTGTTCACCCGTCTTTCTTTGATGATGACGAGGTCCATGAGCTGACCTTTGCTGATTCCTTTGCGCTAGGTGCCTTGCGAGGGTTCCGGGTTCTGCAAGCTGCAAGCTGCTGGATTGACACCGGAAGAAAGACGTGTGATCTTGTCCTCCACACGTGGTTCTTTGGAGTTTGGCCAGGTGACCAAGGCACTTCAAACGCTTTGGGATGAACAATTTGCCGGTCAATGTGCTCAAGTGCATCACTCCAACTTCCAGGAGACCTATGCGGCCGAGATAGATGAGACCGACTCCTGGCAGCGGGAAGATGCACAGTATGCCGAAGATTGGAGCTCTTGGCATGATCCTTATTGGGACTGGTCCGAAAAGTATGTGGCTGAACAGCTTGAAGAACCTTCTTCAGCTGTCGCAAGGGATCCTGCCATCAAGGAAGCTCAACAGGCTGAGCGCGTGTCACAGCTGCTTTGAGGAAAGACTGGGATTTGGTCAGCATTCCTCCTTTCCTGGCCAAAAAGGCAAGGTCTGCTGGATCTGCAATGGGCCACATATGGCCAAGGATTGCCCTGATCGGCGCCATTCAAGCATGATGAAAGGGAAGTTCAAAGGCAAGCAGTCCTACATGTTGGAATATCACGATAATGTCCCCCATTTCCATGAAGACCTCTATGTCTATATGCTTGTCGCGGGAATGGCAAGAAGGGCAAGAATAATCACTGGCTTGAAGCGCAAACTTGGATGAAAGGGAAGGGTCATGAAGAGTCCACGTCCTTTTCAACAAGGCAAGGGTCAACTCCTTCGCCCACCAGTGAACTCCTATCACTCGGAAGTCTTCTTTGGTGGTCTCGAGCTGCTTAGTAGTGCCAATGAGGATCCAATGAGGCGCAGGCTAGTAGCATCGAATGTTTGCCTTGCACCCATGGTCTCCTAGATTCAGGAGCTACAGCATCAGCGGGCCCTCAGATAGCTGTAGCGAATTTGGTGGCTGCTGTCCTTTCAGCAGACCGACAAGCTGAGATTGAAGTCCGCCAGTCCGATCGCCCATATTTTCGCTTTGGTATCGGTCGGTGCGGAAGGGCACTTTACAAGTCGGCATGGATCACCTATATGGACCTCAATCATCTATGACCGTTGACTTCATGACTGACATGGCTTTGGATTCCAGTGAAGAAAAGCCCGCAATCTACCAGTTGAAGGCGAATCGTAAGGGTCACGATGTGTTGGACACCATCTATTTTCTCACAAGAGGTTGCACTTCCAAAGGGGGTCATCCACGGGTACATGTTGTGAAGCACACTCCGTCAGCAGTCACTGAGAATAAGTTCATTCAGTTCATGCCGATCGAGTTTGATGCGATGATGATCATTGTGAAGATACCCATGGATGATCCATAGATGATGTCACTTTCAAAAAGAAACTTGCGGAAGTTGCATGAGAGCAGTCATCAGATTCGAATGGAACTGCGGCACTCTGCTCAAATGTCTTGCGGGACGGACGCGCTGCCCAATTCGAATCCACCAGCCAGTTCCAGCCATGAGCAAGCGGAACTCCACTATGAGTCCAGAACAGGTGGAGAAGCTCGACAAGATTGTGGAAGCCACACCAAGCAAGTCCCAGCCTCGTCCTGATCATGCTTGTCGAATGGGACTGGACTTGCGGGACCCAAGAATGAAGGCCAATCAGTGGCCATGCTTTGGCAGCCACCAGGAAGCCAAAGCCGATGCAAATCCACACGGCAGTTGGGTGCACTGCAAGATTTTGCAATGCTCGTCTCAGTTACACACCTCGACTCGGCCCAGCGGCTCAGACGACCAAGGTGGAGAACGAGCACCAGGTGCAGAAGATGCTCAACGAGTTGGAGATCCTTTTGACGTCGCTGCCTCCAACGTCAGAACTTTGTCTGGCCATGCAGAAGAAGATCGATGCATTCTGACGGGCGGCATCCAGAAGCACTTGGAGAGCCATGCCAGCCAAGTCAAACCCAAAGCCAAGGCAGGCTATTTCAAGATGGCAAAGTCCAATTCTCCGACGGGCTCATGGGAGCATGTTCACAACCCGGAAGCGGAGAGGCGCAGCTGATGGCGCAGCTGATGGCAACCATGCACCAAGTGGTGCCAATGGAGCTACCTCAACTACTCCACGCCTGAGAAGAAGTTGGCTCCAGCAGCATATCGCCGCAAGTAGCTTCGCATGCTCTGGAAAATGGTGCGCTTCATACAAGAAGCTTTGGGTGAAGACCCACTCCTGGATATTTTTTGGGAGGGGCCATGGCCCTGCATAGGTTGGCAACAAACTCCTCTTCTTCGTCTACAAGCCATCCTTGAAGCATGTGGTCGGGAGTGGCTACAATGTCGCATTGACGGTTACAACTGTGGGGCCGGAGATTTCCTGAGAAAGCAGTGGCTGGTGCGAACTACCAGCACATACTTCCATCAGCGCTTTGCTGCCAAAACCTGTCCTGGAGGTCATCGTCATAGCCAGGTTGCTAGTGTAGAAACAGCCAAGAGTTCACATTGTCCTTGGCGCATGGTCAAGTCAATTGCAACAGCTTGGCGACAAGAGCTTCTCTCTGACCGCAGCCAACCACTTCTGTTTGCAAGGGAAAGTCAACCCATGATGCTGCCAGTTAAAGAAGAACTCAATGTGCTTGAAGAACAAGGACACATTCTTCCTGCTATGAAGGTTGCGGAACCTGCAGAGAATGTGCCCTCTGAGCCTCTGGTGATGATCTCCAAAGATGGCGGGCCGAGGTTTCTCATTTTCACAAGGCAGCCGGACACCCCACCAATAGAAATCTAGCGAAGGTGATCCGAGATTCTGGAGCACCACAGTGGAAAGTTCAAGTTGCCTTGGGGCACAAACGTGAAAACTGTGCTTCCCTCAAACCAGGTGAGTTTTTCCCTCAGGGCAAATACCACCAGCATCAACTCGCTGTCTTCCACAGGCTTGGCAAGTGATTCGCTTCGGCACCAGCGAATGGCTGGTGCCAGGCTTGAAAAAGAAAGCGCGCTTTCTTTTGATGATAGACCTCGCCACGAAGCTGCGCGTGGTTTCTGTCATCAAGACATACCCTGAGCTGGTGATGCAATCAGAAAGTGCTGAAGAGGTAATAGAATCTTTCACAACGAGCTGGCTGGCTCATTTCCCCAAGCCTCAGACGGTCATTGCCGACAATGCAAAAAGCTTGTCGTGAGTTCAGCTGCATGAATTCCTCCATGCCCAAGGGATTGAGTTGAAGTTTCTTCCTGAGAAAGAACCCTAGAGTCATGGAGTGGTAGAAGCAGCTATTGATGATGTCAAACATATTGCGACGGCAATTCACATTGAAGCTTTGGAGAGTACTCCTGAAATGACAATGGCCTTGGCATGTTCTGCCCTCAACTCCACCAAGTTCACTGCAGGTTTTTCTGCACATCAACGGGCCTTGTGCTCTCACTATGCCATCAGCGATGAAGGCACACGTCTTTGGCAATCTTTGGGCGACGCCAAGACCAACCTCATGACAAGATGCTGAAGAAATTGCTCGCAAAACCAGAGGCCAACGAGTGCTGAGCAAACTTTCCAACACCAGTGTCATGCAGCCGCCTCGACACTATAATGTCTCTGACCTTGTCATGGTGTGGAGAAAGGTTCAAGTTGGTGAGCATCATCTCGGAGTCAGAGGCGGTCTTCGGAAATCTGGTCGATGACATTGGGTTGGGTCAGGCAGGGTAGTTCTTGCTGAACCCTTAGCTCACCAGGAACCTGATGACTCTCGTCAGCACATTCTCTGGATCTTGATGGGCAAGAAACTTTGGCGTTGTCCCATTCACTCAGTGCGACCTGCCAATGAGACGGGGCGTTTGCACCATGAACTCACCAACAAGGAGGATCCGTCACAGTGGCGCACTTTGGCGGACATGCTTCCTCAAAAGGAGTTCATAGATGTCACTTCAGAAGGGCCAGGGCCTGATGAGGTCGAGATTCCTGATTTGCCTGAACAACCAGGCAGCTCCACAATGGTACCCATTACCAGAGCTCGTGGCAAGCAGACCTATGGCCCTGCAGATTTTCGACCCAAATATGGACCTGCTCAGCATCAGAAAGTTCATCGCTCGTCCCCACTTGGCCAAGATCGACGGTACGTGGAGGCCAAGAATTTTGTGCCATCCACTGCTGCTGGATCTTCTTCTTTGCCTTCTCAGTCCAAGACCACTTCCTCTGCACAACCCCCTCTTGTAGAAGATGTTCCTATAGATGGGGGTCAAGAAACTGACTATGAGTCATCTATAGCTCCTGATCCTGTGAATGACTACGACTTGAAGGAGCCAGAGCAAAAGAAGCCAAAGAAAGAAGACCCCTATGACCTCAAATGGCTAGAGGCCCTTGAAGCTGAGGCGGGGAAGGAAATCACTCATGATGATCTTTTCACAGTCCTTGACAGCTACGAGGGCGAGTGCCTCATGTTTGAGCTGAAGTTGGATTTTTCTATGTAGGAACTTTCAGCATGATCCACTGTTATACCTGGTGAAAAAGCTCAACAACGCAGAGGTGTCTTTGAAGAATCTGTCCGCAGCGGATCGCGTTCTCTTCGAGAGAGCAAAGGCGAAGGAGGTGAGCTCTTTTTTGAAACATGCGGCAGTTCGTCGCTGCTTGAACGATGAAGAGGTGAAGACTGCGTTTGGTAGCGGCCGGATTCTGAAGTCCAGGCGGGTATTAACCTGGAAAGCTGTTCCTCCAGATGAGAAGGAGGAAGCGATGAAGGACGCCATGCAGCATGACAACACGGCCACATCGGCCTGTGGAAGCAAGCATGCGAAAGCACGTATTGTCCTTTTAGGTTTTCAACATCCTTCTCTTTTAGATCGCAATTTCAAGACCAGTGCTCCTGTCATTTCCTCCATGGGCAAAAACATGATGTACATGGGGTCGACTTTGTATCAACGGCATCTAGAATCTAGAAGGGTTGGATTTAGCCACGGCATTTTTGCAGACTATGCCCACTGCTGCTGATGATCAACTTTATTTTACACATTTGGAGTGCCAGAGCTTTGCAAAGCTTTAGGTGTCCCTGAAGGTTCTGCTCTTAGAATTCTTCGCAACATCTACGTGTCTACGACAGCCCCGAGAGGCCTGTGGCTCAGCTTGTCTCAGAAAGTTGAATCTCTTGGAGGTATTCCAACTCTTGGAGGGCGATGTTTGTGGTGCTGGTACTCCAAGACTGAAAAGGACATCACAGGTAAACATCCAAGGTTGAATGGCATGATGGGAGGTCATGCGGATGATTTCCACAGAATCGGAGACCGTTCTTCAGCTAAATGGTGTGGAGTTTGTCAGCGCATTGGTTCTGCATACCAGCTGGGTACAATCAAGAAGTGATCATTCTGACATGCAAGATGTGATGTTCACACAGTCATTGATCGCGCTGACAAATTTAGCACCCGCCTTGAACAACAATCATTTGTGGAGTCTTTAGCGGATGTAGATATACTGTACCACCTGAACGTCTCCGTAGCAATGGCCCTCTAAGTCCTCATGAAGTTGGTGCATGTCTTGCAGCTTTAGGAGTTTTGCAGCGGTTAGCAATTCAAACACCGCCTTTGCTGACTGCTCGGTGCAATCCTCTTTTGACTGAGATCACCATGGGTGGCACACGTGAGCATGCGCGTGAGATCCAAACGATGATAGGTGAGGTCAGAAACCTTGCAACTGTTTTGGAATTGTTCCATCTACGTGATGTGAAAGCTTGGAATGACATGGTTTTCATCAGTATGGGCGACCAAGCACATGCCAACCGCATTAAGGGTGGCAGCACTGGTGGAATGGTTCATTTGGTTTCTGGTCCCAATTCTGTTGATGGATGGCGCACCTGGAAATTGAAATGCCATGCCATTGGCTCAAACGATGCTGAGGTGCAGAGCATCCTTGAGGCTGAGGATGTGAACTTTCGAGCGCATTTGCTTTGGGCTGAGATTCATGGCTGTCGAATTGGCCATCCTTGGTGGATGTGACCGAGCGTCTGCGTTTGCTCGTCAAAGGGGTCCTGTGCACAGATTCTCGTGGCAGCTTTGACGCTGTAGAGGTGAACGAATCACCACTTTTGGGCCTTGAGCAATTTGCGAGCGGCCTTGCAAGCATTCCAGCATGGAAATGGGCCATCCTTTTTGATCTATCTTTCACTTCAGCCAAACGTAACAAGTCGGTAGGGAAGTCCGCGTTAGATCGCTTGACAATTGTCCAAGTGGATGAAGGAAGCCTGACTGAAGAAGAATGTTTACTGGTGCAACAATTTCAGCATGAGCTTCAATTACTCATGCATTGATTTCAGTCAGACATGTCCTATCCATTGTCGTTTGCCGCTCCTTGATACTCCGGGGCCCCTTTTCAGGATCTAATCCCAGACCAGCCATGGCGGCTGTCGGTGCTGTGGCAACAAAAGGCTGCTGAGGCCTCCTTGCGTGTGAACTTCCAGTTGAACGATCTTGAGCCCAATCAGTTGCTGCATTGTGCTACCACCGCTACAGATTCCTTGGATTCCATGGGTCCACTTATGTGATGTGATGTGTTCCAACTGAGCAACTGTTTTTTGGGGATCATGAAACATGAATATCATTAATCATGATCCAAATGATCAAAATACATCAAAATGATCAAGAGTTCAAAGTTTGGAGGTTTCCAAGTGTATCCAAGTGATTCCAAGTGTGGCTTCTGACTGTTTGAGCTTCCCACTCTGGCTTTCAGGGTTTTGGTTCCCAGCCGACCCAAATCAACAGGTCGCGCAGAAGCCCTCACAACCTGAGCATGGCATGGGAGGCTCAAGCTGCCCACGTCAGCAAATGCTGAGGTCCTTGCAGCTGTTGCAAAGGGTCGGATGTCTCCCTGGCATGGCATTTCGTGGGGCTGGGGGGGAAGAATCCGCTTGACATGCTTGACCTTTCTCACCAATCCTACTGCAACATGCAAATGAAATCAAATGTTAGGCAAAACGCCCACAGCACAGTCGTTGCCTGCTGATCGTAAGGCACGGCCATTGGCCTTGTAGTCAAGCCCTGGGCACATCAGCTGCAGGCCAAACACACCCACCAACTCAAGCAGTGATGACAACAGGGTGGCATCTTTCTCCTTTCCATTGCAAGTGTTTCGCCCCGCTTCTGTCTGGCCACAACAGCTACGTTTGTCCCTTGAAAAAAACCCTTCTCCCTGGTTTGGAGGCTTGGGTTGAGAGGTCTTCAATATCTGACAATCTGTGAGCACCATTGAGCTCAGGAGTTGTGGGGGATTACCTGCTGAGACCAGGTCACAGTGCAAAGCTATGACATCTATAACTCCATGACCCTGGTTTCAGGGCCGAGGCGTTCAATCGATCGAAGAACTTCACAGCGCACAGTGTCTTGGATCACAATCGGCTTCGAGGAAGTTGCTGCAGCACATGCCTTTGGATGAAGGAGAGAATGTCGTGCATCACTTCATCTGCACAAAGTTCCTGATGCTAAGGAGGTGCAATGGAATAGACTTTCGTGGCCGGCGGGTCTTTATCATGAAGCTAAATGTGTGCCCAAAAAATGCAGCATGTGCTGATGGTGAAAAATCGTGCCAGCTGTGGAAACTCGTGTCTATAGTCAAAGGTGTCTATAGTCATAGTCAATCTTATCCGCAAACAAATGCGATTCGCTTACACTTTTACTCTTCCTTAGCTCTCCAAAAATGCAAAAAGCAAAATATTTCTGGTCCAACGTTCAGCATCCAACAGGAGTTCATGACGAGCACCGTTGTAGGCAATTGTTTTGGTGAGCTGCCGTCCTGCAGCTTTCATTTGCTTCTCCAGCTGGTCCGCCGACTGTGTGCCCAGGTCGTTTTTTGTCACGGGATCTTTGGTGCCCCAAATCACTAGAACTGGCAAATCCAAAGGAATTTTGGACAGCACTTCTTTGCTCGCAGCTGCGTTGATGCCGATGATCAGGGACTTGGTGAAGCCAACACTGGTCTTGAAACCACAAAGCCTCAGAAACAAACTCCAATTCAACCAACCTTCAAGCCAGAGTGCTGGCAAGACAATGCCAAATATGTAATAAATATGTAATCACTATAATTGTAGCCGGTCCTTCAGAACCAGAGGAACACTCTGGGACCTTCTTGCAGGTCTGTGCAGCCAAGGGGCGAGTCGCCAACATATTTCAGAACCTCTGCACTGTCACGGTTGAGCCAGTCAAACTCGGTCTTGTTGGGGGCGAAGGCCGCATTGAATTTCTCAAAGGTGAGCTTGTTGATAATAGGGGCCACCCCAGAGTCTCCGTAGATCTGTCCAAGCACCTGCAAAAGGGGACCAAATGCGGCATTCACAGGTGGGATAGGCACAGCTGGCGCGCCACTGATGATCAGACCAGCCAATCCCTTTGGTTGACGTGCTGCTACCAGTCTCGCCAGGACACTACCCATGGAATGACCAAGAAGCACCAGGGGGAGGCCATGGTTCTCTCGATTGCAGAGGAAGACATTGTCTTCCACAACTCGTTGAAGCAAATCCTTCCCTCCCATCTCTGCTGTATCAACATGGCCTAGGTAATGTGCTTTGGGATTTTTTGCCTTGGCCTTCAAGGCCGTCTGCCCATGCGACCGGTGGTCAGCAGCATAGACAACGAACCCGTGCTCGCACAAGAATGTGGCAAAACGCCCATAGCGTGCCGAATGGTCACCCATACCATGGCAAATGTGCAAGGCTGCACATGGTGGACCTGCAGGTGACCATTTCCTCACCAAGAGTTCGCAACCATCATCCATAGCAACCCAGGACTCCTCTCCACCAGGCCCCCACACGCTCATTGTTAAGCTGCGTGGCTACACGGCTACACCTGCCCGGGCTGCCTACTTCTTTGCGAAACGCGAACCCCCTGAGCCAAGGCTGAGTTGAGCTGGAGATTATGGAGATTATGGAGATTGCAGTCAATGGGTCAAGGCATGCCGAGTGCTCTCCAACAGCCTAGTCAAAGGGTAATAGAGAATCAAACAACGTCCATATTCTCCATCAACACTATCAGTCACTATCAGTCACTATCATCCCCTCACAACAAAGATGTCGGTTTTCCAAAGGTCAAAGATGTCAAAGTCACTCGGTCCGCTGTGAGCCGCACGCGGTTGGCCGGGTGATCGTGGAAGGGATGCATCGTCTCCATGGCCTGCCGAAAATCTGCACTGGAGCCATGGTCGAAGTGGAGGAAATTGGAACACCGGGCCATGGCCTGTGCCGCCACGGCAATGCATCGCACCACAAACTCCTGACTCCACTGACGATCTGTATCTATAGATTACTATAGATCTATGGCTTTATTTAGATATATATATATTGATATTAGATATAGAGATAGAGATGGAGATGGAGATAGATAGATATAGATACATATGGATAGATGTAGATATATAGATATAGACTATAGATAGATATAGATATAGATACAGACTTAGATATAGATATAGAGATAGATATAGATATTCAGAGATAGAAATAGAGATAAATATAGAATGATATAGATATATAGAGAGATAAAGATAGAGATAGAGAATCATAATATAGTACACAGTGCTGCATACCATACGTTTGTAGAGAGAGAGAGAGAGGGTATGAATGAAAGGTCGACCCTGCGCAACTCCTCGGAGACACGGAACCAGTCATTCTTCAGCTTTCCACCCATACCTGATCCCGGAGAATACGAAAGAATCAGGAAAAAGGGACATGTCATGACATGTCCTATCAGGATGGGTCACAATGGGTCACATACATTGAGACTGGGAAATCATTGCGAGATCAAATTCACATATTTGCCGCTCGAACATGTTCAACAGAACGCACACGTAAAATGCGTTCGCAACTGTTCGTGGACCTAACCTCCAGCCGGTTTCGCAAAGGCAAAGGCCAAAGGCTGACAGAAACATCTGATCCCCGACAATGCCGGAGGTAAATTGAGGCATGGAAGCGAAAGCGGGCACGAAGTCCCGACATATCATCATTCACGGCTTTGGTCTTGAGCTTCTTGATTTCAGCCACCTCGTCATTGGCAACAAGTGGCAACATGTGGCAACATCTGGCAACTATCCAATCCCATAAATCAAAAATATGTCTAACCATGGGTCACAAGTCCTCAACAAAAGCAGCCTCTTCTGCAGTTGGTTTGGGCGGCGCTTGGATAGTGTGCGTGCCAAACCTGGGTCAATCCGCTGTGGGAAAAGAGTGATGCTTTTGCAATGCACAAAGCATGATACCTACATCATCCACAAAGAAGTAAAGCATATATTTGCAGCTGAAGCACGTCTTTACGAACCGCTCAAGCTCCTTGCAGAGTGTGTCTCTGTGTGTGCGTGCATCGAGTAAGGTGGGGGACAAATCGTGACCAAGCGTCTAGTCCACAGCTGCCAAGGAGTTTGGGAGATATGATCTGATATGATATGAAGAAATGATATAGTGATATAGTGTGATATGATATCATGATATATTATATATATGATCTGAAATTATGGAAATTATATGGCATGAAATGAAATGAAATAATATGATATGATATGACATGATATGACATGGTTTATGTTCCTTCTTTCCAGCCACTGTTTGTCAAGGCATCCCTAGATTCGCCAAGACACCCTCTCGGCTGCCAGCATTTCTCTGATCGTCATGGCCTCAACAGGGAGAGAAATATGGTGAAGATATGGTGAAGATATGGTGAAGATGAAAGGATGAAAAGATGATGAAAGGATGGAAGATTATGGAAGGGACATGAAGGGACCTTGTGAGAAACCTTGCGATGTCTGAGGCTCTGAGCGATCTGAGGAGAAGGCAATGGTCTGTTCCGATCGAACATGATTCCTGTCAACAGCACCATGTTGTCATCTAAGCTGTTTCATGTGAGCTGCTGGCGTCTGTATGGTCTGGCAGCCTCAAAGTCACCATGTACCACCGATTGATGATCGCTCGCCTGGCGCTCGTGAAAGTCACAAAGCCAAAGAGAAACAGACGAATACGCCAGAAAAGACAGCACAGAAAAGAATCTCGCAACAACAGTCAACTGCATCTGTGCCTTTCAGGCCCTGGGATCTTGTATGCTCGAAAATCTATGGAGATATCGCCTGAAGCGTCGGCAACAGTACAGAAAGCACATTGCCCATCTGAAAGGAACTGGCAAAAATGATGCATGGTGACAGTGAATGCCGCAGTCAACAGCCCTGGTCGACGTTGGTTATCATAACAACAGTTCATTAGTTTCTGATATTGCTGCCTTTGACACCACTACTACAGTACTTCAGCTGATGAGCGTGTGGCCCGTCTCACACTGTGTCATGTCGCACCGTCACACATGGTACTCCACCCTTTGGATTCGTGCAGCCTCCATCAACGCTTTTCTCCATCATGCTTAGAAGTGCCTGCAGCCCGACAAAATCCCAACTGCTTCACCATCCCCACATCAGAGAATCCCAACCAAAGACTGCCGAGTCCCACCTGCTTTTCCCGCTTGGCCTTTCCAGAGGTCAAGCCCTTGTACTGAGTCTTTTTCGAAGGCGTTTCCTTCTCCAATTCCTTCTGCTCCTTGATAGGCCATGACTCTGCTAATCTTGAGTCACCTGAAGGAACCCTCTCTCCGAATCTGGATTTCTTCTTCAGTCCTGGATGATTGCCTGGGCTTTGTTCCTGAAGAAGTTCTGCAAGTGGAAGTCTTCGTACCTGAAATGAAGTGACACTTGTCCCCGGCAAGTGCTCTTTTAAGGTGAATACTATGAAGACGCAACAAAATCATACAAAACCAACAAAGGCGAACGAACAGTAAGAAAGAAGGAGCAGCTACATACATACGACTCCAGTGAAGGCTCAATGGAACAAACCAATAACAGTTGCCATGACAAACCTCTGTGTTTCCCTGTGCCGCTCCCTGCCTCTCCCACTCTTTTTCTAGTTGGCTGCAGCGCCGCCTGGTCATGACGCAAGCGACTTCGATTGTAACCCATCCTAACACACTCTTTGACCAGTTCCCTTGTGCTTTTCTGTGCTTTCTGCCGGGCCTTTTGACTTGAAGAAATCTCTTGCACCATCTTTGCAGCAGCGTCACGTTGTCTACAAAGCCTTTCATGGCGCGCCTGGAGAAAGGCAAGCGACTCAGGTGCTGCATTTCAATGGTGTCTGCTACCACCAGTGTTGCATCGTTTCTCATGGTTTTAACAGGATTCAACAGGTTTCAAGAGCGGTTGACCTTATGCGCGACCATTCACCCAGCTGCCGCAGAACCTTGGCTAGGCAGCAAGGCACAGCCTTCGAGGCACAGCAGACTTCTTGCCAAGTTGCCAGGAGGCAAATGTCAGAGGACCTCATGGAAGATCGAAGGCGAAGCTGCACAGGAAAGTTGAGACTCAACCACCATCAACCATCATCAACTATCATTACAGTAACCATCATGAGTCATCACTAATCATCACTAATCATCACTGAAATGCCATCTTGCCCCACCTTGCCCCACCTTGCCCTAAGGCTGCCACTTGTGCAAACGTTTGAAGCGGAAATGGAGCAGGAGCCAATGCACAACGGCCTGACCAAAATTTCTGACCACGGTTCCATGGGGAAAAATCCGGAAGCATGGATTAACATGGATCAACTGCCCTCCGGATTTTTTTACATCGCTGTGAGAATGGGAAAATGGATGAAAATGGCCTGTTTATAGATGACTCTAGTGTGGTGACTTACCGACTTGCCTATGAAAAATATATTTTAAAAGGGTGATTTTCCGTGGTGATCGTTTACTGTCGGAGCTTCAATGGCCAACCCATCCGCAGGGTCCTTGACAATAGACCAACGCCTTGATGCGAAGATTTGAAGCCACTGGACGACTGGAAAGATCAGCTCCTCTCTGAGCCACAGGCTTCCTGTTCTTGGCTTTCAGCGTGGCACTACGTTCAAGTTGTGCCTGCCCATTGCCGAGCCAAGTCAGCACAGCTGCAAAAACCATGAACGCAAAAGAAGATTGTCATACCATATGGTAATTATGCTTTAGGATGATATATACTAAGTATAATATACCACCCAGCTGCAATCTGCCTGCAGGGTCTTCCGTTTTGATGATTGCCTTGCCAACGGGATCTCTGTTTGGATGGACGACCTGAGAGAAGCATCGCTGTAGTTGACAGCGCGTGCTGATTTCACTTAGACACAATTCACCCCGCCCAGCTGTCTTCAACCGCAGTTGGAAGCATCAGAAACTAAGAAAAAAGCGTTGGATCCTGCAGCTGCCGGTGCATGACTTTAGATTGGGATGGCAGGGGAGCTTCCGCCAGCAATTCAAAAAATACAACTGAAGTGTTCAAGTCTCAACATGTCTCAGCCACTTTGTTTCGATATCTCTTGGACTGCAAGCGCTATAGTATCAGTCACTATCACTATCCCTATCATATCACCACATAAGATCACTATCATCCCATATTGTCATCAACATATCATCAACATATCATCAACATATCATCAACATATCATCAACATATCATCAACATATCATCACTAATATTATCTAACTGTTCACCTATCACTCTCTCACTTGGTTCACTATCACTGAATCTCACCGTCCTTGGAGCCACCCAGCGTCTCGAGGATGCTATGTCCACCTACGATGCCTCGTTGCCGGCCCCCATAGGCCTAAACGCAGCCGGACGGCCAGGCTGCCAGCAGAGTTCTAATAGCTTCAGGACAGAAGATTCAAACAGATTATGCACATTTATGCAACATATTCCACACCAAACACCAAAAAAAAATGCTGAAACAAGAAAACGAATGAAAATGGATGAAACACTGGCACGCAAGTCATAAGACAACATCGTATCAGATGTATCAGGGATGCATCGTGCCGCCATGTGCCACTTCCAGCTGGATACCTGCCTGAATTCGTTGGCCTATCAAGCTGGAGATTTCCTCCACTGAAGCGAATGACAGGCTGGAACTGATCGGATTGTTAGTTCTTCGCGCCGCACTGTTTGAACATGTTAGAACCCTGTCCTTCAGAAAGTTCTGCGCTGCGCGTGGATTCTTGACACACAAGTCACTGACCGACATCCTGCACGCTACATCCAAAATTGCTGCATCACCCAGGCAAGGCATGAGAATTGCCGAGCACATTTCGTTTCGTTCACCCCAGTCCTTTCACCGGTGCCATCTGTAAAACCAGAGCTGGCAAGATCCACGTCAAAAGGGAGCATGTATTTCCACTCACTCCTCCACAGTGTCATCACATGTCATCATTGGAGATCTTCCTATCTGAAATCTGCGGAGACGTTGTGACATTTTCTCATCGCCATGGCATGTCTGATGGGTCAGAGCTACCTCTTAATTCGCTTGTTGGATTCTTGCTAGCGTCCAGTCTACCCTTCCACCTTTTGAAGCTTCTCATCCGGCCGAAACTGCCTGAGCCTACTCATCTTGTCGATGAGGTGATTCAAATATTTGTCCTGCAAAAGACGTTCTCAAGGACTGAACTCTTCGTCAGATTGCAGCCAGTGCTCCAAGTCATTCTGCGCATCGTGGGGGCTTTTACCTTTACATTATTGAAGCATTCTTTCCGACTTATTCAAGTGGTTCACGGAGAGCGTACTAAATTTTGCTGGTTATTATTGCGCCTTGGGAATCTTTTGAAGGGAAAACCGGAGGAATTCTGAACTCAAACTGATGTCCTTGCGCAGTTGCTTGGCACGTTCGTCTCTGCTGAGATCTGGAGGAATCTCTGATTGAAACCTGAGCCACTCGTGATCCTACGGCGCATTTGTGTGTCTGCTTCACTCTTGCTAACCTGTGCGACCTGCACGAGGCATCACAATGAAAACACATATGACTTTATGTGTTTATATGTTTAGTCATGTTTAGTCATTCATACATAAGCTCACTCTTTTTGACTTGGATGACTTGGATGACTTGGACGACTTGGATACTTTGAACCCCACCCACCATACTCGACCTGGGTTTCCCGGCAACGACGCCTCCAAAGCTGCTGAGTTCTTGCTTCCAGGGTCCGTAAAGGTCAAAGCCCGTTGCAACTTTTCAGATCGATGTCTTTGTTCCAACCTCGAAGCCAGGTGAACGGATGCCACACCCCCAGTCATAAGCTGTCGCTTGGCACTGGGCATAGTCATACTGAGGCACCAGCATCTGATCCACCTGATGCAATGCAGCCAACTGGGTTGACTTTGTGCATCTTGAGGGCACACATCATACGCATCCGACGCACCAACCATCAGCAACACAATGAAATAAAGCTGATAAATGTTGATCATTTGTTGATATGCGAGTTCAAAGTCTTTCGTTTCACCTTCCTCAGCCTGTATTTCCCTACTCAAGCAGCTTTCCAAAACCCAAGGCCACCACTCCCCCGCTTTCGTTCAGCATCTCGCATTGGCTCTGGATTTTCCTTTAAGCCATCCAGTTGTACATGCAAAGAGTTGAAGTAATTTTCCGGGTGCACAAGAAACTCTGGCATTCATGATCATTTATGTCACCATTTTCCTGTGGCATCTATTGCGCCCGTTTCGTGTTCTATGAGGAGATGTCCCCAAGCATACTCCATGAATCTAAGCACGTGGGGCACAATTGGCAAGTCTGCGTCTGCTGCAACAGCCACTCGGTACCAGGCAGAATGTCTACAATGTTAACTTTTTCGGATCCCTTCTCCCCATAGACCTGCAGGTCAGAACTATTGCAATGAAGCCTGGCGATGCCTCACGCACAAAAAATCAGAGAAGACTAAGCCTCATAATGGCGGAGGGGGATGGAGCGATCTTTCGGCTTTCCATCTTCCTGCGTAGGTGGGCACAAAGCAACATGGGCTGTGAGGAGTTCGATTCAGGGAGGACCTTCAACGATCAGCGGAGTCCTCATCAGAAAAGCGCCTCTTGTTTTCAATTTTCAACGCGACCTTTCGCTTCGGATCCCTGACATCGCAAAGCTGAAGGAAACACGTCACAGCAGCAGAACATGACATGTGGATACATGTGGGCACTGCATCTTCTCGCCTTGCCATTTGCTCCTTCTTCCTAGCCTGGGTGGTACAGAGCCATAGAAACTTTGGCTTGATAGCGTTGATATGTGTAGATACTCAATGACATTCAATGACTATGCAACACCCAGCACTTTGAGGATTTGACGCGGCGCAGCTCCGCCTCTTTTCGGCGGCGTGCCTGTGAGAAATCGACTGCAAGAATGGCCCAAGGGCTTGTCCAAAAATGGCGGACAATGGCAATTTTGATGAGGGAACTGATTATAAACAATTTGATGAATGGATTGGATCTCTTCTTTTGGGATCGTACGCTGTTCCAAATCCATGGCTGTTGGCCTCTTCAGCTTTGGCTGCGGCTCGCTCCTCGATGCCTTTGGAAGTCCGGAAAAATCTGGAGAGGCAGGTGCCATTTCAAATTGGTTCGATAAACGTACCATCTACAAAGTCATGCAATCACATCCAAAAAGGTGACAAGCATAGACAAGGGCAAGTCTGGAGACTAGGGGCAAACACTGGTGCGCTGTCACACCTACTAGCTTCATCTTCTGTTCTTTGAATTCCCAGTATGTTATCTTTCCCCTGTCCACTACTTTTTGCGTCACAGGTACTGGCTCGCTCGAGGTGCTGAAATAGAATGCTCTTGGCCAAGTCCTTTGGCTGGGAGAAGGCATCAAGTATCATCAAGTGACAACAAACAACAAGGCCGGTCATCCGACCAGCACAGGCAGAAGTCAGCTTCGTGTACAGTTTGTCACTCCTGGATGTGATGGTCTACATCGATCAAATCCTTCACAAACGATTCCTGCAGCCCACCATAAAAAGCATCAAATATTTCAACATGTTTTCTTCATATTGCAGTAGCGCAGCAATGCGCAACAACTCTCCAGGGCCTCATCCTGGAGCTCCTCCGCCTATGCGAAAAAGGACAGCGACCCCAAGTCCCCAAGTGGATGCACAACCATTTCTGGACAGACCCTAGCTGCCTAGCTCCACCAATTATCTCTTGCCACATCCACAGACCGTCGGACCCAAAGAAAGATAGTTATGCCATGGACACCAAAGCAACTGTCGCATAATCCCAACACATCGGTCGTGTCAAAGACCTCAACGAGTTCAGTTCCATCGTTGCCAGCCGTATTCCCTGCACCTTGCTGAACGAAACTGGGCGTTCACGACAATTGTGACACAAATTGTGCAACTGGAGCCAGCTCTGAGGCCGATGCTTCCAGCACGCCCACTTTGTGAAGATTCAAACCTTAGGGTGGAACTCAAACAGAGTACAACAGCCGCAGAGCAGCTGCAAATATTTACTGGTACAGTAGCTGCTTCACATCAGGTCAGGGCTTCATGAAGTATTTCTCGCGCTTGAAGTTTTCCTTCCGAGCCGGATAGGACCTGAGCTAAGCGGCATTTCACATGGCACTCTGACAAAATCGGATCATTGCCGACATCCCCTGGGGAAAATTCGCTCAGTTTGGGACAAGCCCTGGTCAAGCGGCGGCAGATCTGAAAGAGTCTGCGAAGCCTGCGGACGGAGCTTCAGTCCAGTTGACCGTGAGCAGCCAGTGGTCAGCCCCCAGAAGGAAAATCTATGAGGAGTGGTAGAAACTGATGCAGTGAACGGAAACACTGCAATACAACAAAATACCCACACACCCCAACCCCAGCTGCAGGTTGCAATGCAACAACACCTGTTTCCTAGCACTGAACAATCTGCCCACCTGCTCCGCCAACGACCTAAAGATCTACACGAGTCACTGAGACGCTTCTGTAAGGCAGCACTGTCAATGGAAAACGAGAACTCTAGTGACTCTAGTACTGACATGTACTCACAACATAGAGGCAAGAAAAAATCAAAGCCGAGATCCCTGCTCCGCATCTACTTGGCCTTGAAAATCTTTTGAGAGACTTCGCTCCTGAGAAGTGGCAGGGTTATCTGGTTAAAGACTGAAACCTGAAACTCTGGCAGGCCTGGATGTATTTATACAATGTATGTTCCGTGTTCGCCAACCGCTGAGCCCGCCACGAAAGCTATCACAGTCTGAGACAGTTTCCTTGGCCTCAGAGATGAAGAGAAAGCAAATGTGAAGACAGTGAGGCACAAATATTTATTCATATCTTTTTCAGCAAAAAATGCAGATAATGCAGCAAGGGCACTGCTGAAGCAATCCGAAACTAGCTAAAGCGCCTGGCCGGACAGGATGAGAAACATGAACTCAAATCCAAAATATGTCTGGGGTGTGGGGAACAAAACCTCGGCGCTGCCCCTTCAAGGCTGTCTCTCTCAACCCGTGACCCACTTTGCAAGGAAACTCTGCAGAGCGGCAGTGTCCCTTTTTAAAGCCTGACTCTTGACCCACGTAACCTCCGTGAGACCCAGCCCAATTTAGGCTGCTCTGGCAAGAAATACACATCAGCCAAAGGCTCCCCCAGAGTGTCCTCAAAGGACGCAACAAGGAAATTGCAGAATCAAAGCATCTGTGATTTCAGTGCTAATGTGTGTGTGCCCCTGTATGCCACGTACATACATGAACATTTAATTCATTTGCAGGTCACTCCCTCATGTTTTATATAATATGTTTTAATTCGGTAGCTTCAGGAACGAGGCAAACATGGCCACCCTTTCATGCTCGCACAGGGACGCGCATTGGATCGGCTACTTTAACAACTCAAAGGACTGAACCTGTGGATCTGAGTATGGTGATGCCGCAGTCATGTCATTGATTCTGGATAATTGTGGGCTGTCCACCAAGTTGAACAACCCTTTCCAAAGGCACTTCACCCCAACAATCCTCGTAGAGCGTGTACATGGGTTTTTGTGCGTAGTCGGGGATGAGCGCCTTCTTGGCATGGCCAGTGTGTGTGTGATGCGTGGCTTCAACAACTTCCAACCTCCACATTGCTCTCACTTGGCAAACCCTGCCTTGATGCAGTCGGACTCTGCATCCAACACAAAGGCGCGAACACACGGGGAGAAGAGGATCACCAAATTTCGGTGTTGCATCACCTCGTCTGAATACCTGCAGTGCGATACAGATCAACATAGGCCGAGAGTGTCAGGACATGTCAGGACAATGTTCTGAATTGGCTAAAGCGGCTAAAGAGTTCAACCAAGGCTCTGGATACAAGAATCTGACTGACAGAAGCCCAGGTTTACAGGGAAGGCATCATCGTTCCTGGAACTGACACGGTCAAATCCCAGGAGTCCCCCGTTGCTGGACCAATGCGCAGGGAGAACATCTTTGAAAGGGACCTCCATGACCTCCCAATCAAACGCACCTTCATGATCACTGATGATTCTGATGATTCTGATGATCCCTCATACATAAACACCGGCTCCTGCAAGGGTATTCGCATGCATGGAGAAGGATGCCAACCTCACCGTTCTTGCGACGGAAGAAGTGACCATGGAAAAGGTCATGACGGCTCACCTGGCATCCGGCCCCCGTAACAACGGCAATGATGACCTAATGATATCTTAACTTAACCATGCTCAATGATGTGGATTGATGGGGCAATGGCGCACAAACATGCAGAAACCCTTTGTCCCAGGGCCACCTGCACATGGAAGCCTTCAGCACGCGCTGCAGCTGCCGTGTTGAAAATCACCTCTCTGAGTGCTGCGTCCAGGTCTGTGTCAATCAAGGACTGGACCTCCTCACGTTATTTTCATGGCTAGGTCTAGGTGTTGAATCGGTATGCACCAAAGCCACACGGATAATGCAGCATGATTCTCCCACCAGCATTGTGACAACTTGGGGCAAATGGGCAGGAACAGAGTTTATGCAAAGTCCGTCAAAGTCCTGCGTTACTAAGTGGCACTTTCCGAAGCTGGGAAACCTGAGCTGCAGATCCAAGATTCTTCTGAGATACATGTGAGATACCGGTGATGCTGACAAATCCAACAGTTTTGGTCCAAAGGTTTCGTCCAAGTTGCTCCCATGATGGTCCCAGTTGAGAACACACTGCAACTGCCAAAGGAGAGCCTGGAGAGCCTTGCACCATCAATGCAGTCAGACCATCAGCAAACCATCCACAGATTCGCACGATCCACTTCCCTCGTGCCTTGAATTGGGACGGGTAGCTTCGGTAGGGGAAGCTCGTAGGCAAACCGCCTCTCCTTGTCATCGTAGACCTTGCCCCGCTCCAGCCTGTGGAAAGCAACAAGGTGACAGCCTCCGAGCTATCTGCACAATCTCTCCTCAACGTAAAGTCAGTATACCTACCTACTAAATCCTACCAACTACCAACCAACAATTCGGAGAGGACGCATCCCAGAGAAACTGCCCATAAATATAACATAACATAGTACACGGTATACATGGTAACATACAATGACATACATGTCACATATTGTCACATCATGTCACATGTCTTATTCGTGGTGACTTGTGACAAATCAAAACGGATCCGAACCTCAGGAGCATGTCCTCTGCTGCGGGCAGCACCTCTGCCAAGGTATGAGCTGTGAAGAATCCAAGCGCTGCAGGTCGCAAGCGGCAAAGGAGCATGATTTCGGCTTCGGCTTCTCAAACTCTTCGGATTTTGCACCAGCGAAGCAAGGTGCATGGCATTCAAGGTTCACACAGGAATTAGCTGAACATAATGGCACTTCTCAGTCAGAGCCTTACCTGAAATGAGATATGTGGCGGCTACGCATGCTATCTGCCAGGTTGCTATCTGCTAGGTTGGGGACAAAAGAGCCTTTGAAATCAATTGCAGCGCATGCTGAAAGACGGCTTGGCTGTGACTATCTGAACACATCTGTGGCTAGATTCGGCTAGATGGTGCGTTCATGCGCGTTCTGCATTGCATGTCTTTGAACAGGTGTCAGAGCAGCGGCACAGAATGCAGGTTCACAAATTGTCTTGGTCCAATCATGTGGGCAACGTCCACGCGCAACTCGAAAACCAGACTCCTGCCTGCACCGTCATCTGAAAAGCTACTTGTCACACTGCCAGTGCTTGGTCGCTGTTGTAGCGGCCTGAGCCGGAATGGACGATATTGACGGTACTTTGGGCAGGAGTCTAATGATTCCAATGCTATCAGGCTACTCCAAGCACTGTCTTTTGTCGGCAGCTGGGAAAGCTGGAGCCTCAGCAACAATCGACCATTGAAGGTCAGAAAGACTGGGTTCGGTTGAAAAAAAAATGCAAATCAACGCCATGTGCTGCGATGAAGCACCTTCTTCACACAGTCATGGCGGTATGGCTGCAGAACGTAGATCAAAACGTCTTGAACCCATATGGACCGAACAGAGTACGTATAAATTGTATAAATTCAACTGCCAATTATATCAAGTATGTTCTTGCACATGCCAAGGGGTGCACAGAGGATGTACGGGCAACTGGATGATGTCTCAAACCTGGCACTGAAGTATCACATTTGCACATGGCACTTACAATTACACAGTAAGCTGCACTGCTCACACCTGGTAGTTGTGCCTGTGAAGTCAGCACAGTGGGGGAAAGAAGCGCCTGCAGCATAGGAGAATACTCATGTCAAACGAAATTTTGCCCTCATGCTGAGTTGCAAGCGTTGCAAGTGTGCACTAGTCTATACAGTTGTGCAATGGTCTTCAGGCCAACTTTCGCAGTCATGACTTTTGTTTCTGTACGTTCACGGCGGCCACTCGTGTAGCCTCACCCCTCAACAGTGGGTCGTCCAATGATTTCAATGAAGTTGGCGGCGCAGTCCAAACAGGTCTCGGTAACAAAGTCACAAGCAACCCTCAAAATAATTGTCATTTATATTCGTTTATATAGTTTTTTCCTTCCCCGTTTCTTTCGCATCTTTCGCTGGGCGAAGTGTTATGACTAATTGCAGAATGGCACACTTCACCCAACCCCCAAAAGAAGTGCTGGTTGGGCAACAAAGGTCTGAGGTTCAGGCCGACGAAAACGGCCGCTGTTCGATGCCGAGAAAGGTTCAAACGCCATTGTTCACGCAGAAAAGGAAGTGCTAAACAGTTGTGTTCATATGGGTGGCAAGTGGCAAGTTAAGGCAAAATAGTGCCAGCGTCAAACAATATGGTTCGATTGCACCAATGCAAAACAGAATTGTATGGGCTTTGGTCAGTCGTCTAAGAATTTTTGAAGTAAAAAAAAATCGATAGTGAGGTCATGAAAAAATACAGATATTCAGCCACAAGGTAGGAAGCAAGTTTATTTCAGACCCTCCGCCTTTGGCGAGGAAGGTTGTGAACACATACACGGCTGCACCTAATCACAAGGGGCAAGAACAGGAAAACACGTGGAACACTTGAGAGCGCAATGAATTTTCACAATGAAGTTTTCGACCTCTGCTGCCAAGGCGCGTTGGCAGCACGAAAGAACGGCCCGCTGGTATTTACAAACAAATGTTTGCTTGAGGCCAAATCGGAGAAACAAATCACCCACAGATTGCAAGTGTCAGAGCCCTGCATCACAAACATGAAATTTTCACAAAAAATGAGGTTGGCGTGAAAAGATGCAAAGTGCCACACCAAATGCCTGCACATGTTGTCAATCTCCAGGGCTGCAAACCTTAGTGCCACCATCCAGTTTTGCGCGTTTTCTTTGTTCGAGACATGAACTTACGAACAACACTCATTAACACAGAACACAATTGTTTGCACACGTCCGTTGCAAAAGAATTTGTTTGAGACACATGCACTACGACAAAACCGAAAAATAAACATGATACAATGGAGGCAAAACAATTTTAAACAATGCATATCATGTTTTTGAATTGTCTCGGCGGTTCGTCGCCGGATGTGACAAATGCCAGAATTGAAAACCAACATTTCACTAATTATTTGCGATTTTAATGTCCATCTCCTTTCTTCGAACATTCCTTCTCCAAATATGCTATGCCTTGTCAGCGAGTCGCTGGACCTCATACGAACCGTCGAAGAAAGGTGGTAGCTGTTTCTCCCCGTTGCATTATTGCATTTTTCGTCAACTCTGCAGGCAATCACGCCAAACCGTCCGTTTTGTTCCAGGTAATATGCCATGTTTTGCCTTGTCTATTTCAGAAACATGTTATTGCGGGATCCCAAGCGTGGCATATGATTTATGTTTATCACCATTAGCTAGTTGTGCAGGGTGAAAACGTTGTATACTTTTTAGAGCATGACCTTCTGGCAGAGCGCGGCTGTATGTTGCAACCATTACTTATGTTGCTTGTGGGGTTACGGGCAACAAACATTCGTGATGCCGCCACATCGGCTGCAAAAGTTGCCGCACGCGCACCATGGCATTTGCTGGGGTGCGCGCTTGGGCATCCAGGAATTCAAACAACATCACCAAAAATAGTTTGGAGTAAAACATAATTCCTTCGAGTGATCCCCACCACTTGACATTTTACTTGACATGTCTTGGAGCATTATATCTAGCATTTTTTCTGTCATTTTGTCTGACATATACGCTGACATTCTATTTGACATATACTCTAACGTTCAATCTGAATTTTATTTGAACTATTTCGCACCTTCTATCTGGCAGTCTATCTGATATTTTGCAAACAGTCTATATTCCAACATTTTTTGGAATCTTTTCTAGCATTCTTTCTGAAATCTATTCTGACGTCCTGTCTGCCATTCTATCGGGCATGTGCTCGGACCCGTGCATGCCCACCCTGATCAGGAACCCGCGATACACAGGTTTCGGCGGTTCCGTGCGAGCCCAAGAACTGCCGTCGAGCTTGCGATAGGTCTCGGGCCCGTGTGTGCCCACACGGCCGTGGAGATCGACGCGAGTCACTGGCAAATAGAGGCGGAGCACCCAGTGAAAGACTGAGGCCGGGCCTCACCTGGCAGGTGCGGAAAAAATGGTACGAATGCCAGCACGGCACAGTTGAACAGACACGCATAATCCCCTTGTGCATGCCATTGGCCGCAGATCGTTTCTGGTTGGTGCGCGCATTATCGTTCTCCCAGCTTTGGGAAACCATTTTGTTTGATATACGTGAGGCCCAAGGGTAGGGAACAAAAATTTGCTGGGAAACTAAAGCGCCGAGGAGGGAAACGTGGTGAGTGGACAGAACTCTGATGATGGTGATGATGCTGACGGCGACGATATGGCGACCATGCCCCAAAGGCATTGGCACAGCAAAACTGTATCCAGAAAAACGGGGGGAAGCGGAGGGAGCGGGGCAATCCCAACCCCTGCTGATACCTTGCTGAAGCAGAAAAACATGTTTCAGCTGGGCGAATGTTGTTTTCGAGGTTTTCCGCCCGATTAGATGGGTTGGCCACCCGACACAATCAAATTCAACGAACCTGACGCCGAGACCCAGAAAGACCGACAATCTTCAAAATCGAACGCGGCGGGCGACAAACAGTAAAACCGCAATTTTGCACATCGAAGATGCAAAGCGATCATACAACCTTGAAGGCAAATGACGTAATGAAAAGGAAGTGATCATGCACATGCCACACTGTACCAAAATGACTATGCAACTTTTCAGGTACACAATCGTGCGCGTGGTATACTCAATCAAATGGGCTGCACACACATGTTACACGAATTGTGTTTGTGTGCTGGTGTGTGTGACCGTGTGGGTGTGTGAGCGTGAGTGTGAGTGTGAATGTGAGTGTGTGCGAGCGTGCGCGAGAGTGTGTGAAGTTGTGTGTGTGTGTGTGCGCGCGTGCGCGTGCGTGTGCGCGTGTGAATGCTGTAGTTGGAGTCTCCCCAATTGGCTGGCGGACTCCCCAATTGTCTAGCGGACGTACGCCGGCCAATTTTTAGCTGCGCCCTCCAGACGGACGTTCAGCGACGCCACCTCGCCAAACCCTTTATTGCCTCCCATTGCCGCATGTTCTTTTGTTGGGTCGAACTGGGCTGTATTTGGTGTTGATGTGTCGGCACCTGTACAAACCGCCAGGCGTGCCTGTCGCTCTGAGTGTCATGATGTACCTTTCTGTTCTGCCACATTCCAAAATGAATGTTTGTAATGACGTTTGTGCGTAGGCAACGTGTCCTTCCTTGTCCGTAATCATTGCCGTCATTGCCATGTCGATGCCTGTCAATACCGGCAGTGGCCATTTGTTTTCATAGGTCCTGACGTTCGTGAGACCAATGCCTATCTTGACTTTGGGTGTTGGTGGCATCTTTGTTTGCCACGATATTCTATTCACGCAGGACACAAACTCCTCCACAGGATATGTGCGACGTTGTGACGTATTTCCCGTGGCGTCGGTTGTAAAAACTGTGCTAATGTCTTTGCCTTGTGTGCGCTCTGTTCTTCATTTTCTTCGTCTGCTGGCATCTCGTCAGGATGGCCGAAAAGCACATGGAGGTGATCGGACGTGAGGCCTGACAGCCGGGATGCCACGCGGCGCTTGGCTGTGCCAGGGCCTCTGCGACCTCGTCTGGGGTGAAGGAAAAGGGAAGGGGCGAGGTAAAACGCTGCAGGTTGTTAGGGAGGGGTCGCAAGCGGCCGGCAGATCGCCGGGCAGGGTCGGACAAGGTCCAGCATGGCCTGGCCTCTGATGCACAAGGAAGCCGCTGTGAGAGTGGCGCGCGCGCGCGCGAGACAGGTTGCTCTGGCAGCAGATGCCAGCAGGTTCGCTCACGGCAGCGAGCGGCGGCAGCATCATCAGTGGGAAATCCTTCCGGCGGGAGTGGCCCGGCCCTTGGCGGGCGTCCTCAAGCAGGGGTTGCCAGTTCAAAAACGAATCGAATCGCTGCATCAGCCCCTGGCGCCCCACCCTTGTGGAGGCTGGTGGGACAGCAGTGTGGGGGCAAGCAAAAGGAGGCGCTAACCTCGATCGCGTTGCTGCGCTGTGGAATGCTCAAAGTTTGGTAGTTGTGACTGAGGTAACGGTCGTTCTCTCAAGGACTAGCTCTTCCGGTGGTGGGCGTTTGGCGTGTTTATTGTAATTCCCCACCTGCCAGGTGAGGGTTGTTAGATTTTATGTCAGTTGCCTCCTCCTCCTTCTCCTCCTCCTCCTCCTCCTTCTCCTCCTCCTCCTCCGCCTCCTCCTGCCTCGTCCTCCTCTCCTCCTCCTCCTCGTCTCTCGTCGTCTCGTCGTCTCGTCGTCCTTGCTCAACTGCGACCCGCGATCCACAGTGTTCTCTGCCGGACCTCAACCACGACCATCCACGCCCAGTGTTCCCTGCCGGACCTCAACCACGACCATCCACGCCCAGTGTTCCCTGCCGGACCTCAACCACGACCATCCACGCCCAGTGTTCCCTGCCGGACCTCAACCACGACCATCCACGGCCAGTGTTCCCTGCCGGACCTCAACCGCGAGTATCCACGCCAAGTGTTCCCTGCCGGACCTCATGTAGGAAGATATGGGACAAAGAATGTGCAGAAGAAAGGTAGAAAGAATGTCAGAAAGAATTCAGAAGATATGCCAGAAGATATGCCAGAAGATATGCCAGATAGAATGCCAGATAATATGCCAGAAGATATGCCAGATAGAATGCCAGAAGATTTGCCAGATAGAATGCCAGAAAAATATGCCAGAAGATATGCCAGATAGATATAGATATGCCAGAAGATATGCCAGAAGATATGCCAGAAGATATGCCAGAAGATATGTCAGAATATATGCCAGAAGATATGTCAGATAGAATGCCAGAAGATATGTCAGAATATATGCCAGAAGATATGCCAGATAGAATGCCAGAAGATATGTCAGATAGAATGCCAGAAGATATGCCAGAAGATATGCCAGATTCATATGCCAGAAGATATGCCAGATAGATAGAAGTCAAATAGAATGTCAGAAGATATGTCAGATAGAATGCCAGAAGATTTGCCAGTAAGAAAATGTATAAATGTCATGGTGGGGATCACACGAAGTAAAGTAATTTTTGCCTGTGGTTGCTCGTATTGCCATTGTCGCCATTTTGGTACTGTGTTTGTTGCTAGCATTATTGTTGTTGATTGTTTTGGTCTGTATTTCCATTCGTTTCTGCAACCCTGTCAATTTTGCGGTCCTTGGCGTCAAAGCCTTGTTGACAACGTTTGTGATATGTTTCCCTTACCCTGGTTCTTTTACTACTGTGGGTCATTTTCCTTTCGTCCTGTCTTTGTACGGCGTTGATCCCTGAAAGCGTTGCCATATCCAACCGGTAATGGGCCCTTGCCTTTGCTGTATCCTTGTTGGTTTGTGTCTCTCCCTTTCCTTTGTTGTACTTGGCCTTGCTGTTGTTTTGTACGTTCCCGTTTCCTTGCATTTGGCGCCAAAGCCCATGGGCTGTGTAGGGTATCACGCACACTGCGCATTATTTTTCATGTTGTTGATGCCGTACGGCTGCATATCGTTGCATGGTTCCTGCTCGTAGCCGCGGGCGTTGTTTTAGCATTTTTGGTGAAAGCAAAACAAGAAGAACAAGAAGAAAAAAAAAACAGAAAAAAAAATAATACCAATAATAATAATGATGATGATAATGATGATGATGATAATGATAATAATGATAAGAATGATAATAATGATAAGAACGATAAGAATGATAATAATGATAATAATGATAATAATGATACTGATGATAATAATGATGATGATAATAATGATGATAATGGTAAT